TTTTTAAAAATATACAATACAGTATTATTTAGGAGGGAGGTTTAGAGTGAGTATTGACCAGTAATGCAATGTTTTATCAGTTTTGGGTCAATTCTTACTAATAAGAATGGACAGTAAGGTAAATCACCTATAATATAATAGAAACACAAATTGTGATGGTTACTGATGATAACATTGCCACCACCAGAGTTGTTCTTCACTGCTCCACGTTTGCAAGCCGCCACAACATTTTACCTTGAAAATAGCTTTAATACCTCTTGTTTGGTAACTGTATTGCAAGCCTCTATGCCATTCCTTTAATGTATAAAATTTGTTGAAGCTCAAACAACGAGTACTTTTGTTGGCCTCCTTGCTTATGAACATTGAAAATATACAATTCTAAGAAAAATTTAGTTCAATTCATATTATACACACACTTGTGTAAGAGAGGGAAGAAAGAAAAAGAGTCCCGATTTTTTTGAGGCCTTTACCGTAATTTACTAATACACTATCTTTTTTAAAAAAAATTCATTATAAACTAATGGTTTTAACTGTAAGGTCAAAAATGTAAATTTATATTGATTCACTATGCTCAAACTACCCATTTGGACCTTTCTGTATAATTATTGCTCCAACTTCGATATAAGTTTGTTTAATTTACCCAAAATAAAAAATATAACGAAAGCAAATCTTTACCTTTATGATTAAGACTATGAAAATGCATTCCGAAGGTTCATCACGTGCACCGTTCTTATTATTATTGAGTCTTTGGAATCAAGTTCAAGTTCCTGGCTCATGGACTAGTGGACTACCACCACAGCTCAACCCAAGTGAAGAGAAATCTTCGTTGTAAAGATGGTGCCACCACACCTAATTTTTAGGACTTTGTTGGAGTGGCTCGTGCATGTAGGCTTGGGTCTTCCATTTGGGCCATCTTGAATTTGGCACCTTGTGGGCCGATGCAACTAAAGATTGGGCATTGTAATACGTGACAAAAATAAACTGCATGAGTGGCATTAAGAATGATCGGTAAGCCTTTCCATTCGATTTGTGGATATTAAGGGCCCGTTTGGCATGTGATATTGTTTTTTTAATATTGGTATTTAAACTTGGGCCCATATCATACTTGAAAAGGCTGATATTAATTTGGAATATTTCATAACATATCAGATTTTTTGTCCCAAACGCATATCATCAAATTGGCGATATTGTGTGTTTTGGTATTGTAGCGGAGGAACTAAACTAAATGTTTGAATTTTTCAAAACAAATTTTCGTCATCAAACATGGTTTCAATTTCTATCCAAAAACACTATTACAATAAAACAGTTGTTTTGGTATTGACCAAAAACATGATTCCTAAAACACATCGTATGCCAAACAGGCCATAAAAATCTATGCTACTAATTACAGTAGTTGTTCTTCTGATATCACAAAATATATAAGACATGTTTGATTTGTAACTCTGAAAACAATTATCAATAATTCAGAAAACAGAAAACTGCTTCTCAGAGAATAATTTTTTTATTGTTCTCCCAAAACATACATTTTTATAACTGAGTTTTTAAAAAATAGAATCAAGCAGAATTTTTGTACAGTTTTTTATTTTCAGTTCTATGATAACAGAATAGAGTTACAAATCAAGCAGGCCCTATAAAAGACAGTAATGTAAAAACAGACATTTTTATAACTGAATTTTCATATAAAAAAAATCAAGCAAAATTTTTTTTGTACAACTTTTTGTTTTCAGAAATTGTTTTCAGAGTTACAAACCAAACAAAATTTTTTTGTACAGCTTTCTGTTTTTATAAAATTGTTCTCAAAGTTACAAATCAAGCAGACCCATAATATTTCATCATTCAATTTCTCTTAAATAATGTTTTATTTATATTTTTAGTTCAATATGACTTTAATTCACAAATTTTTGCAACAGTTTGTAATCTTGATTTTTAGTTAGTGTTTTAGAGTTTAGTTAAATTAGGTGGTTGTGCGAGTGAAATTCCCATTTTTCTAATAAATGGTTCAAATCATTTTATCAACCCGAGTGTTCCATTTCAAAAAAAAATTCTTTTTGAAACCACCCATGTATTAACATAATAGTAGAAAGAGTACCATGCTGTGTCTAGACTTCTAAGGACTTAGCTTTAGCCATGTTAAGGGCTCCACATTACTGGTTGATAGAGAATCAAAGTGGATTTATCAATATAATTACGAAATGCTATTGTTTTCTTAATTTATTCTGAAGTAATTTGTCAGATCATGCACCATTCTTTCTTAATTATAATGAAAAAGTACAGCTGGTCGGATGAACAACTCGCACACACTCTCCTTCCAAAAAAAATATCAATACGCCAAACATTAGGCTTAGATTTATACAAAAACAAGAAAAACATTATTTCGGTCCCAATTTAAACTCAAACTGGGCCAATAAAATGAGTCCGAGACCAGTGTCTTTAAGTAATTGGGTCAAATGGGCTTGGCCTATATTTTGTTGATCTTGATCCATTATAATTTTGTGTATAATATTGCCATTACGACATCATTATCAGCAGCAATAACATTTAGTTGAATTTATGGTAATTAATAGTCATACCCGCCAGTATATTTGTATAATTCAGGGCAGATTGAATATATAGTAATTAATAGTCATACCCGCCAATATATTTGTATAATTCAGGGCAGATTGAATAATTTTACTAGGCATTGTATATTATAATTTGATCAAGTTGCCCAAATCGCTTGTTACTTGTTTACCTAGGTTTCTAATTCCCCAAAGTAAAAGCCATCCAGAATCTAAGGCGGTAATTAGCTCTAAGAATGGGACATTAAATTAAAACTAATTAGTCTTCAATTAAATTCATGAGTTTATTGTCACCTAGGGGTGTAGTGACGTTGGCAGGAATCTGAAAGGTGAGCGTGTCTTTTGGGACTGATACATATGCTCTAAGAAATAAATAAAAAAAATTCATGAGTTTATTTAATTTATATAACATGAAGTCAGCCATATATTGATAATTTATTTATTTTTTAGTCCTTGTAAATAATTCTCATAATGCTCTTTGAAAAATTAAAATTTTTTCTTTTCACTTTGAAATGAGGGGAGATATTATCAATTGGTTAGGGGCTTAGTAGGTATGGATTTAGCCACTTTACAAAAGCATTTCTATGGATAAAATGACCTTGAAATTCCTTCCATTTGATATACGAAGTGTGCTTTGGAAATTGAAAAATATATATATGGCAATGCGCATAAAAAACTAGTATTATAACCTTCAATTATAAACTTTTACAAGGGATGTGAAATGGTGCATTATTTGCCACTAATATCAAGGAATCGTATATTATTTGTTAACAAATATGAAAATCTATTTTCAATTCTAAAGGAAATTTTTAATACTGTTATTTACGTTACATTTAAATTAAGATCTCTTAGGGTGGCTGATTCTCGCAGTCATTTGAATTATGAACTATTGAAAGATTCTAAAAAAATTGAAATATTATGTAAAGCGAACATCCTGAAGTAGAGACTTATATAGATATTTGAGAGTGAAGGATTTTTTGTTTTTCATTGGAAAGAATTATTTTAAGGATCAACTTCTCTCAAATAATGTGTTTTAATTAAATTTTTTTTTTTTAGTTCAATATGATTTTAATTCGCAATTTTTTTTGCAACAAAGTGTTTGTAATCTTTATTTTTAGTTTGTGTTTTGGGGTTTAGTTATATAGGTTGTTGTGTTACCTTTGTTCAAGTGAGAATAGTAAATTTTCATTATTGTGCACTATTAACAATTTCTGGTTCATATGCATTTATTTATTATTATTATTATTAAGGGGGAAGATACTTTTGCATTCATTTTTTTTTTTTTATTACTTTTTTTTTTTTTTTTTTTTTTTTTTGTGGACAAAGAGAAGTAGTGGTATCTCAGGTATTACAAAAAAAATAATACCCCAACCAATCATTTAACGTTTAAGTAAGAAAATGAACCAATTATAGATTGTGTATTCCTACTGTCTCTCTGGAATACTGTCTCAGTTCTCAATAAGCATATTTTTACTTATGTGTCAATTTTGTGATTGACCGTACCGACATATAATAATTTTTCCCCTATCACGAGAAGACAAAAAAGGATATGATTGGCTGGGGGTACCACTTAGGATATGGGATTTCCTTCCTTTTCATTAATTATCTTTTCCTCTGCCAAACTTTCCTTCTACTTACCTTTTGCGTTTAAATTGCGTAGGATACAAAAAAAAAAAAAAAAAAAAAAAAAAAAAAAAAAAAGAAGAAGAAGAAGAAGAAGAAAAGAAAAAAGTGTTGAAACAATTTTTCGGAACCAAATAGACTTAAACTGGGTCATTAGCTTGGTCTAGATCCAATTTATAGGTTAAAAATAAAAATGGGTCAAATGGGTTTGGCCTATATCGCAACTACCCTTCAGAAAACTGGCTTTGCCCATTATATATTTCTATTTCTGCAATCTATGATATCTATCTGTCATTTCTCGTTCTTGTTATTGACTCCATTATAATTTTGTGTATTAATTTGGCAAATAGGACATCATTATCAGCAGTAGTGTCAATTAGTTGAATATAATAAATTAGTCATACCCACCAAAATATATATATATATATATATATATATATATATATATATATATAAATAATTGATGGCAGAGTTAATTATTTTTAACATGCATTTAATATTATAATTAGAGTAAGTTGCCCAAATGGCTAGCTACCAAGTTTTCTAATTCCCCCAAAGTTAAGCTATTCATCAAGTCTGTTATTATAATCCAGAATCCAAGGCGGTAAATAAATCTAACATCACTAATTTCACTTATTATATAGTGTGACTCAAAAAAGAATGACACTACCCAAAATTCATGAGTTTATTTATTTATTTATTATATATAATATGGATTCAGCCACTGGTCAAAATGACCTTGACCTTCGGTTAGATGTACTTCAAGTGTGTTTTATAAATTACAAAATATATATATATATATATATATATATATATATATATATATAAAAACTATCATAGCATTCAATCATAAATAAGTTTATTACATTATAAATTACAAAATCTTCTTCTTCAGTTTTTTTTACTTGGCACTCCTGCCCATATATACTCACCAAACTTAAGTAATAATTAAAAATTAAAAAGAACCATTTTCTGAATTCTTGTAAATTATTTTCAGAAAATCAAACCAAAGAAATGGAAGTTATATCATCCGTTGTTTTCTCTGTTTCAAATGCATTTTTTGCTGAAACGATCTTCTGCCCTCCAACTTCAACATATGAAGCAAGAAATCACTCCAAGTGTCAATAGGTCCAGGCAAGCACCAATGCACACAATCATTGGGCATTGTCACATTCTGATTTGGCCAATGCCCATACCTACTAGGGTGACCATCTGGCCTCAACAACATTGCTTGTGTTGTGTCAAGTAACCTAAACCTCAACCCTCTCTTCCTCCCTTCTCTCTCAGCAGCCCTAAACTCCTCCACTTGGGTCATATACATCTCCAAATTCACATCCTCCAAAACGCTCTCATTGCTCCTCAAAGGCCTTTTCCTCACACAGTCTCCGCCCTCGTCCCACAACCCATTTTCGAAGTGCGACGGCGCGAAAGTCCTGAGGAATGTGATGCCCTTAAAGTTTTCCATGCTGTTGATGGCTCTAAAAGCTGTCCTGAATGCCCTTCTATACCCGTAGTACATTGGGAGGTCAGTAACGTTTTCAATTTGACAGTACCGGCACCCGACTAGGCGGCGCTTCTCGTAGTACATGCTTGGCCGGTAGAACCAGTGGCCGGCGGAGAGGATCAGGTAGTCGAATTCCTCCACCTGGCTCGTCCAGTCCTCATCATACTCATCAAGGTGGAGGTTGAAGAGGCCTGTGTGGGTTGGACCATCAGCGTCTTCTTCACTTGTCTTTACCAAATAGGGTGTCCAAAAATACGCAACCGTAAAGTTGTAACTTGTGTATCTCCAACGCTTGAAATGCTCATCTGCTGTATATGAAACATCTATAGGATATTCCACCTGAAATTGCATCAAAAACGAAGTAATTATATAAGAATGTTTCAACGTAACCCGGGTATATTTTTCTTTGGAGTAATTGTATGATGCATATGAATTGAGTACTGTATGCATCTGTCCGATAGTGATGGATTATGATGCGCTATAAGAGATTTGACACCACTACCGTCTAATATATGTATATATGAAAGTTCAAAAATACCTTTATTAGCATGGAATTGGTGAAAGAACTAATTTTTTAGAAGCCTTTTTTTTTAAAAAAAAAAAAAACTAATTTTTTAGAATAAACATTATTTCAGTTCATGTACCACTTAATTTTAGAACAAAGATTTTCACTGTCCCAAGTGATATATATAAATATCACATACACAGTTCTCTATATAAATTTATATATGTATTATTAGGTAGTGAATCTGTTCACCAAAGCATCTTTGTCCGTGAGTGTGTCTTAAAGAAAGTGAACATAACACATGGTTTCATACCTACTGAAGAGAATAAAATGATCATATCATATGTAGTGGTTAAGGACTTTAGTGACCTAAAATGTATGAAGAAGACAAATGTGTTGTTGATAAGCAATTTAGATAAGAGAAATAATTCAGCATTGCCAGGCTTGGATTCCCCAAGCTTTGTTGTCAAGTCATCATCATATATATATATTTGTGTGTATGTATATGTTATAATGGTTGTAAGTCAAGTCATCATCATATATATATATATATTTGTGTGTATGTATATGTTATAATGGTTGTAAGTCAAGTCATCATCATATATATATATTTGTGTGTATGTATATGTTATAATGGTTGTAAGTAGCAAAGACACAAAACATACAGAACGACTTTAAGCAAGAGATGGTTGGAATGTCGAAAAACAATCTGACATATCTCAAGCTGGCCATCTATAGACAAATCGATCTACACACACACACACACACACACACATTTATTTTCTGATATTCTAAGTCTTTTTCCATGTTCAGGTTTGGCCTCTTTATAATAATTTTACTTTCTTTGTTAATTTTTAGGAGATCTGAAACTTTTTATCTAAGGTATTGATTCCATTAATGAATGGTCTGCATGAAACTAAGGTAGATCTTCTAGCCCACGAAGAAAAAAATGTGCACTTCATTAAATAATGATCAAGTGGACCTATTGAGATTAACTTAATGTTCAATATTTTGATCAAGTGGACCTATTGTTTATTGGGATTAACTTATATATTAATGTTCAATATTTTAATTGAATCCCATCTATTGGACCAATTTTAAAATGACAATGACTGTCTTGATCCAAGTAGTTTATAAACTTCATCCAGAATTAATAATTGTGATACATAGCTCTACTAACTTCAAATCATGTACCTATGCGTATATGTATATCTATATATGAATTCTACTAATTAACATCATGTGTGCCACCTATATTCTAATATAAAAATAGTTCAACAGTCTTTTTCAAGATCTGAAACTATTTCGGAGGCATTAATTTAGGGGTAAATTGGTCTAATATCATCTTGAAATGTTGGAGTTTGAGATTTTATGAATTTTGAAAATTTTCAGATATTGTTAACTTTTCAATTTTAAGTTTATCATTCAAAAAATTCCCAAATTCTAAAAATGATTTTAAAAATTTTCCACTTTAGCTTTTCCAATTAAAGTTTCAAAAAAACTGTATATGATTTAGATGTGTCCAATATCAGTGAACAATAAGCGCTGCTATATAGATCTATTGATGTAACTAGTTGACCACTTCTGCTATGTTTTATATAGATTCCTTCTTTCTTTTTTCTCCCTTCAAAAGTATTGGATACCTTTTATTTTTCTATTTCATATATATATATATATATATATATATATATATATATATATATATTACGAACTATTTCATATCCATTCTGTAAATATATATGTACACTTAATAAGGAAAAATCTTGAGCTAGGTTGTCAAGAATGGCTGGATCTTAAAAAATAAAAATTAAAAAATTAAAAATAAAAACAATAAAGAGGAAAGAGAGAACAGGCTGGATCAATTCATGCCACGTGGACATTGATCTTAATGCATGTGACATATGATAGGAAATTCAAAAATGTATATGTGTTTATAGTACATCTAATTTACCTAAACCTTGAATGGCTTGTTGGTTTAGGTCAACTAACCTTGTCACTAACCCCACACCCTAGTTGAATTCAACTAGTGGAGAGCGCAAAAGTAAAACAAAATAATGAACATAAAAATACAATGAACATGAAACCTAATTAAGAGGGTTAAAACTATCATTCACTAGATCTTAACCTAGAAAATTGAGTATAGCATAATACATAATACAAGGATAATTACTTTTTCATTGAAAACGTGTTCGGAAAAGGAAGATTATATATCTCATAATTTTGATGCATTAAAGTGGGGTCATAATAGATCTCACTTCAATACACGAAAAAGAAATATTGTATATCTCACAACTTTGATGCATTGAAGTGGGGTCATGACAGGTCTCACTTCAATACATCGAAGGATCATGAGAGATTTGATCATTCTTTTCAATGCACTTCTTACGTGTTCTTCATAACATAATCTAGCAAAGTTCTACCTCAAAAGTAAGTGATTAAAAGTTCAAATAATCAACTGAGTCAACTATTAATCTACAACAATAGTACTAAGGCACATGTATGTTTTGATCTGAAAAGGGGCCGGGGAAAGAGGCCACACACACACACACATTGCAAATACTTCAAATGATGAAAAAACTTGAACAAAACACAAAAATAATGCCACACAAAATAAAATGAAGATGGTGTTGGAGGCGTACCCTGGACAAGAGGCATATCATGGACTGCATTTGGTTTCTCCCCACAGAGTCACCAACAAAGGCCAAGGACTTCCCTCTGACAATTTCTAGGAACTGGAAGGGGTTGAAGACGGGCAAGTCACAGCCATCTGGCTTCCACTTCCATTTCATGAAATCAGTGTCAGGCCTTCCATATTTCATGCAATTTTGGTGCTCGTGGATCGCCCAACATGTCGTGTTCACGTAGTACGGTGCACTTGGATTCGGAACCCATTCCCCGGTAAAAATGTCACATTTCTCATTGTTTTCAATTTCTATTGAATCCTGATCAGCAGGATCGTAGGAAGAAGGTGGCTCAGAAATGATGTTCTTGGAAGTGTACCTCAGCAAAGGGTAATAGAGAGGGACAATTGTGAGAAGGACCAACGCAAGGGCTATTAGTATCACTATCTTTGAGGTCTTCTGTGGTGTCTGGTTTTTCCCAAAGGGAAGATCCATGGGTTGGAACTTCATTGAAGAGTTGTAGAGAGAGAGAAGGTTTAGGAAGGCATGAAGAAAGGAGAGACCTACAAGGCACTCACGTATATGGTTGTTACATATAGTATGGTATTGGTTCAACATGATGCATGATGTCCACCAAATAATTAATAGCATTTCTAATCCAGTCATGTTACCTGATTCTTCTTCTATATTTAATTTTTAAAAATGTATACAATTAAATGAGTATAAGATAAAATCACATTACTAGCTAGGTAGTGTCTAACTTTGGGTCCCAATAGAAGAAGAGGTATACATCTTATTATATTAGTTATATATTTTTTATGAATGTGTTGTTAGGAACAACTTAATCGTGTTGCCTATAGTATTAATAGGAGGAGAAGATGTATCATATCTCATTATATTAATTATATATTTCTTTGTATGAATTAATTATTGCTTTGTATATTATATTTTTACCAAATAAATACAACACTTCTTTTATTAGTCAATATATGTTTATTTCATATTAGGAGTTAATACGGTTCAAGAAAATTTTAAATCAATACCACAACTTATGTAGGTAGTCAAGGTTGTGATGCTGTTACCGTATCCAATGCATTCTTCTAGCTAGTAAAATATATTCCTCTTACACGAGAGATTGTGGAAATTAAGCCTACCTTGAAACAATAATACGTGCATATATATATATATATGTAACATGTATTTTAACTTATACTCTATAATGGAAGCAAAAATCACAAATATTATTATAACTTAAATGCTAAAAAAGAGTAAAGGTCTGTCTTGTAATTTGTGAACATTGCGACACTCACGCCATCAACTGTTGGCCCTCGGCGTACCTTTGTAGTAACTTTTAGTTTTAGATCTAACGCCAACACGTGAAAAGTAATGTCAAGTTCATTTTTTTCTGATATAAAAAGAAATAACGAATCCAGAAATCTAAGACAGATTCTCAGCATTAATTGCTTAATCCCTAACAGTTTTGTTTAATCAACTGATACTAACTCATACCAACTTTACTCTAAAATCATTAAGTACTTAAATAATTGTATTGGATTTGACAATGGGCTCCTTGTAAGCATGCCCTTTTAGATTAGGATTATTAGACTGCCAACAGCAACATTATATATACATATATTAATATATACGTACACTTATATAATGATAGTAAAAGTATAATGCAACAACATAATATACATCAAATATGAAAATATGTGTTGGGTTTCATGGAATTGAAGTTTTGGAATTGAAAAAAATTTTAGTTCAATTTTGTAAATTATTTTTTTCCAATTTCACAAATTTTAATTCCATACAACCGAACGCAACCCAAATGTATTTGTATTCATTAATTTGATGTGTCATTTTGAATTATTTACTTAGTGTTTTTACGAATTTCTTTCCACTTTTACCAATTTATGAAATAATGAATGTGGTAAAATCTTATGACTGCACCCGGCTATAATAAAAGACTTTATAATAATTAATGAATAATGATATTTAAGTCTATTTGTCAGGCTGAAAAATGTAATAGATGAAAATTTTATCTGTTTGATGCTAAGTCACATAATCATTCTCAATAGGTGTCGCTCTCACGTTTTGTGTGCACTCGACTTAATTTTGTTGCTCTCACGCTTCTATTCTCAAATTTGTTCTCGCTTCCGCACTCCCTTACGTGACTTAAGTTTGATGTAGTGAATGAGATCAAATGTAAATTCTATTGAATATATAAAAGGAATAGGGCCACTTGAATAATACAAATAAATTAGAAAAATCAGCCAACAAAAAGTAAATATGGGTCTAACCAGCCATTAATGCATGGTGTACGTTTTTCAACCCATGGTTACTTTTAGAGGGTAAAGACTCTAATTTTTTAGGAGCACTGTTATTTGTTTCTGATTAAGAGAAAAGTGACACGTCATCACGTTATCAACAAAGCATAATTTATCATTCTCAAGTCATAAATCTACTTGGACCACAAAAGAGTGGGTCCCTTGACTTTTAGGAAGCAGCCCACCATTTGGCTCTACAATCGCTTTCAATATTAAATTGGTAAAAGAAGAAAGGAAATGTATTGGTTCCACAAATGAGTTTGTATGATTGTATCTCTTGGTTTCGTTTAGATAAAATTGCAGTTGCCCAAAAAAACAAAAAAATAAAAAATAAAAAAAATTGCTAAACCACGTTATTAGATAAATTACTTTATTACAGTGTTAGGATTAATTTAAGAGAAATTAGTTGAACTCAATGGTGTGGATCATACTGAAGAACTCATCGATCTCACTCAACAAATTAATGAAATTAATGCTCACACTGACTCAACTCCTACTTGACCGTTGGTTGAGTACTTGAGTTTAATATCATTATGCAAGCTCGGAAATTGTAGCTAAAGTATTGATTGGACAAAAAGAAAAGAAAAGAAAAGGATAGGATGTGATTAGCGATAGCACTACTGATTCTTAATGTGGGCAAAAGCAGTCATGGAAGAAAGGGAGAGGACTTGCATTCCTTTAAAAACAACTTGTTGAAGGAAAATGCTGCAATGAAGGCACGTTCATGGTGAGTTCGTCTGGACGCATCTTCATTTATTAAATTTACTAAATAGTAGATGTATTTTAATGAATTAATGAATGAGAATTCAAGCTCATTGTGATTCTGTGAAGGTTCTCACTCATCCAAAACTTACCCTTTGTTAAAAAATATATATTATAAGTGGGCTCGGATGGTTAATGCATATTTTGGTGTCATTCGATCATGATTAGGTTGGTGTAACATTAATTATAGTTAAGCTGTCCACATTAACAAGTGATGATTCTTATATACATCACAAATTATGTTTAGCTTCTCATTCAACATAAAAATAAAAAATTGCTATCATCACAACACAATCATATAATATTTTGACTACCAATTTGTATCGTACCGGTCACTACAATAATTGAGATTATATATAATATATGTTGTTAATCAACCTCCCGAGAGAGTCCAAATTATGATACAGTGAGCAGACTGAGAAGGCAACCAATCGGTTGGGTTGTCATTTCATGAAATAAAAGGAATAAAGTTTGTCATGTGAAAGCTCATCCCATTCCCATGCATGCATCATCATATTCTCTTCTAATCAATTGACTTAACCTCATTGGATTAATTATTTTTAGTTTCCTATTTAATCCATTATATATTACAATGGTGAAGTTAAAGCAAACGTACAAATTCATGTCTTTATGTATTTTCCAACTGACTTTTTTAAAACTAAGAATTTGTATCAATTGGACTATTACTTATTTGATAATAAAAAAGAGAGGGAACTTCTCATCCAAGAAAGCATAAAAAATGAAGGAAGTGTGAAGGTGCCGTTTCTAGAATGCAAGGTTGATCTTGACTTTTGTAAGATTGTATTGCTATTTCAAATATATATATATATCTCAATAAAATAACTAGAATAACAAATTTTCGTCACCCAAATAGGGTGGGGTGCGGGAACCACTGCTATAAGTAATTTCTACGCTTCACTCACAGTCGGTAAACAGTATAAAGTCGAAAATAGTTTAATTGAGTGTTGCTTACTTAAAAAAATAAAAAACATTATTTCACTCAAAATTGGGCTATCACATTATTAAAGATTGTTTTTCTCTCACTTACTCTTTATTCCTATTAAAATTAGGTTTTGAGTCTATTATTTGAGTAATGTGTTTGGTTATGGCTCTATTCTATCTCAATCACATATACATCCTAATAAAAACACACTCGGCAGAGTGTCCTAGTAATAGCTTTCAAACCATAAGATTGAGCTCGACCTCTTCAAGTGACACATACCAAAGTCTTGTGAATTTAATACAAAACTAGTTAAAGCAGTACCTAAATTTCAAATTTGACTTCTGAAAATGCCGACACAAGGAATTGATCTCCCCGTATCATGTCCATGATGAAGTGTGTGTAAGACTATAGGTAAATTTGTATTGGCTATTCCAGCTAAAAAAATAAAATAAAATAATTAAAAAACACTTATAAAAGATTTTCTATCACATGCAATTGACTAGAGGACTATAGAACTCAGCTTATTTGTATTGTCCCCAAAAATGGTTATCACCAACTCTATTATATATATAGATTTGCCATGGGGATTAGATATTTGATTCTGATTTTATATATATTAGCCAAGGCCCATCATATGATGCAGTTCCAATTTCGTGGACCACATGATATACCATTATATCTCAGTGGATCTCTAATATGGCCCATATATTAGAAGCCCACTTAAAAATGGGTTGGTGACACCATACCAAAATAATGGATTTAAAATACGGGCCTCGGATTTTTTACTCGTAGTTTAAAATGCCTATAAAGGTGTAACGTTTATGCTCCCCTTTGACTAATAACCCCATTGGTAGGGCAATGGACAAAATCTTCTTTTTCTTTCAAAAACCTATTATACCAACTGTTGCAATTTAGTAGTATTTTCACGTCTTCCAAATAAAAAGTGAGAATTGCACAAAACATTGTGTGAATTTCTTGAAAGAAAAATAAAAATAAAAATAAAAATAAAAATCATCAAACTATGTTTGGGAGCAGCAAATGGAGGGCTTACTCTAGTATTGACAAAAAATGCGAAGGTAAGGGCAACCTTTCAATTATTATCCTTGTCAAACATGTTTTTACAAATTATAATGAACTCAAACATCCTTCTTAAACAAAAATAAAAAAGAGAAAAAATATATATTAGGTAAGTAGGAGCAGAACCATAGGACACATCGAAATATCATATTTAAAATTATACACATATATTTGGGACATGCAAAACACTATCATGTTGTTCTTTTCTTTAACAAGAAATTCAAGTATAAGGTTTGATTAAAAAAAAGGGCAAAACCACGTAAAGGTAAAGTTAAGAGTCTGAAATAACAAATCGATTAATTTTTAAAGTTAATTTTTCATTTTGATTGGATTAAGTAAAATAATTATAAATATATCAATATTTATTGCTCAGGTCTAAAATATCCTCACACTCTAATTTAAAAATATCAAAATATCCTCCTTAAAATTATATAATTTTAATATAATAAAATAGATAATTAAAAATTAGTTTGATTAGTGAATAATAATTCTCTAGCACTGTCCCCACCAACGTTCGAGGCACGACCCACATTTTCTAGGTCTCTCTCTCTCTCTCTCTCTCTCTCTTCACACACATATATAAATATAAATATGTAATCATTTTTGTTCATAAGTTTCAGATCTATGACTCTAGGCTTTAGAAGTATGTTATAACTTATGAAATTAGGGGTTCTTGCATAAGGGTTATCAATTTGGCATCTCAAAATTTGTTGTGATTGTTTATAATTGATTGAAGAAGGAAACAAACAACAACTAGAGACCTCTAGACAACAAAAAAGAAATGATGGATATTCCAATACTTCATATTACCTACCAGGAAAAAAAAGAAGATATTTCATTAGTCATTACCCTACTGTCCAACAGGATATAAAATCCTTGATAAATCCCATTATAGTTTTTACAGCTTCTAATATATTAACAATAATAATAGCTTCATTTAGGTAACAATTGAAAAATCTTCTATGTGATATATCACCAGTGTCATAGTAAGCTTGTGGACTTTCCCTTTTCAATTCTTACCTTTCAAATCAGATGACATCAATCCCAAAGGGCAATCCAATGCCATGGACGACATAGAGAAGAGATGGAGAATTTTTATTTGCTAATTAAACTTATTCTTAATTATTTATTTTAATATTTGAAATTAGATAATTTTAAGAAGGATATTTTTGTATTTTGCATGTAATAAGAGTGTGAGGACATTTTGGACTTTAGCAATAATTCTTGATGCATTTGTAATTGTTTTATTTAATTCAACCAAGGTGAAAAATTAACTTTTAAAATTAACGAATTTGTTATGAGTCATGATACTCGGGCAGAAATATTAGACCGATTTGTTAGGTAGGATGTACGTGGCACAAAAAAAACAAATTAATATGGCAATCAAATGATTCCACTAACATGTCCATTAAAATAATATGAATTTTCAAAGACAAAATTACCCTTATATTGACTTCTTGTATTCATCCTCCCTTTTTTAGGGTCACTTAATTGAGATCATCATTTCAAAAACAACTATAATTAAAATTTCCTTAAATTCCTTTTATAAATTTTATCATAACACTATCTCTCTGTATAGATCTATAATAATATATAAATTTCTAAAAAGAAATCATCATAATATATATATATATATATATATATATATATATATATATAAAAGAATATGCAGAATATTGCAAAACATAAAATAAAAAAATAACAAGTTTATAAAAATTTCATCATAACTCCGAAAAAAAGATAAAGAAAGAAAGAAAAGTGATGCTTGTTTACAGGGAAGAAAATTAAGTACTGTAAACTGATATATTTGTGTATCGTGATCGGAATTCAATGACGGTAATGGAGAAAAGGGTGAGAGAAGAAAATAAAGAATGGTTTGACTATGGGATAGAGATGGATGAAGAGAGATATTATTGGTAATTGAGATTTTTTGCTAATTGGGATTCTAGATAGCTTTGTCTTTAAAATTTTATCTAAGTGTAATACAGCTATAGTGACACATCACTCTCGGCTGGAGATTTGGGCCCGAGCAATCAGTGTAATTTTAACTAATTTTGCAGTATAACTCGTTTTCCTTTGGCATAGATTATGAAAACATTCATACCCTTGCATGTGGTGGACATTTTAGTGCAAAGAAGACTGCCTTGAAAGTGCTTCAAAGTGGGCTATTTTGGCCCACCATTCATAGAGATGCATACAATAGAGGAAATTAATTAATTTTATTTTAAGTGTTTTAGTAACTTAATTGGATTTTTAACTTGATATTGTTGATGACCATGTCATGTTCCTTAACAACATATTTACTTACATCTCTCTTTGTAATTGATGGACACAATGTGAAAATTACTCCCTATTATCCTCACCCAACAGCATTGCACATGCAAGCTAACAAACAGGGATGACAAGAAGATTGCCACCAACATTGCAAGCAGTGACGATGAACTTGCAGAGTAGGGCATTTTTGTCTTTTTTCGTTTTGCGTATCGAACACCGTGGGGTATGCTGGATGGGTCCGTGAATTGGTTGGAGCGTTTCAGTGACCATTTACGAATTGAACCCTCCCTTTGGCCCTGAAGGAGCTTAACAGAGGATCTGATTGTCCAAACGCGCACAATTGTCTTGAAATGATTTAATTATTCATCTATTGCTTAGTAAATAATTAAATCATTAATCGAGCCTGTGGCGGGGCCCCGCGAAACAAGGCAGTGGGTTGACAAATTTGGTGGGGGCCCACAGCGGCGCGGCGGGGGAAAAAATAGCTGCTTTCTTTACTAAAGGAGATCAGATCGCCTGTGTATCAGAAGTTAAGTATTTGGGAGGGTATACACACACTAACGTCTATGAAATCGGTGCCTCAATAGGGAATTGATCCAATGCGACGCGGCATAGGTAATAATGTGTATACGCAGATCTTGACCCGTGTCATCCACGTCACAGATCTGTGACTTTTCAACTTTCTGAAGCAGTTCGATCGATCGAAATTTTCTATGATCGATCACACAAAAATTGATCAAACTTAGTCATTATCGATCCATTTATACGTTAGAAAAGTCTAGGGGCATTTTGGGCATCTTACATTGAGTATTTTTCGATTGCTTCTGCGATGTCACGTAGAAAACTCAATTTTGAGGGGGGTTTCTTCGGTTATTTGTTCCTTCCTCTTCTTATTAGGAATCTAGGTTTTTTGATGGTTTCTTGGGTTACTTGTATTTGATCCCATCCCAATTCTTCGCCCAAACCACCACCATCGCCGTGAAACCCCCTCAACACTGCCACGAAAGGCTCCAAGCCCAAAAGAAAAACGGTCACAAAATCACCAATTAAGATTTCGGGACTTGATATCTTTTCCGTCCGGACTCCGAACCAGGTAATTCTTGAGTCTAATTTCATTAATTTTTTTGTTGTCTTTTCAATGGTACCAGTTTCAGTTTCAGATTTTTTTCTCCTAGCTCAAAAAAAAACTGACAATCCCAAGTCTCAAAACACCGTTGTCAGCCACATCAGTCACGAATCCAAAACCCAACTCACAGAATGTTTTCTGAAGATTGGTTTTTACTGTTCATTTGGTCTCAAAAAGGGATCTGTTGACTGAGATTGGTTTGGTGTCTTACATGCATCCGTTTAAAGGATAGAGTCCTTTGGTATATTTCTTGCCATCTTGATGATTCTTTTTGACCTTTTCAACTTTCTGCTTATTTTTGTTGTTGCTGATGTTTTGATTGAGATCTGTCTTCTTCTTGTCCATTATAGTGGATGCAAAGTGCTATTTCGAAGGAGCTTTATAACGATTTTGGCTCTATCCCTGAGACAGAGTGAGGAATTTGAACAAACAAACCAACCTTTGATGATTATGGTTAAGTATCATTTTTCATTTGTTATTTATAGCTCCTAATCCTACTTATATGTAGGTTTTCCTTTAAAAAATTAGACATTAATTGTAAATTACCATCAGTAGCTTAGTTACAATTATGGGCACGAAGATATATGATATAAACTTAAACAACAGCTAGAGTTCAAAATAAAAAGAAGTGGTTTTTCTTATTCATATTTACTGTAAAGAGATGAATCGAGTAATTAAACAAAACTTGTTAGGGTTCAAAATAATGATCACCTATTTTCCATCTTCATCATGTTTAGCAAGAAATCATTCCAAGTATCAATAGGTCCAGGCAAGCACCAATGAACACAGTCATTATACAGTGACACATTTGCATTAGGCCAATGTCCATATTTACTAGGATGCCCATCTGCTCTCAACAACATTGCCTTTGTTACATCAAGTAACCTAAACTTCAACTTTCTCTTCCTCCCTAGTCTCTGTGCATTTCCAAGCTCCTTCACTTGTATTTTATAAACCTCTAAATTATATTCCTCCAACTTTGTCTCATTCCTCCTAAATGGCCTCGTCCTCTGACAATCTCCTCCCTCATTCCACACCCCTTGTTCGAAGTGCGACGGCGCGAAAGTCCTTAGGAATGTCATCCCCTTGTACTTCTTCAACCTGTTGATGGTTCTAAAAGATGTCCTAAATGCCCTTCTGTAGCTGAAGGACACTGTTTGCGGGATGACATTGGTTTCTTGACAGTAGAGGCAGCCCACCAGCCGGCGCTCCACGTAGAACATGCTGGGGCGGAAGAACCAGTGGCCGGCGGAGATGATCACGTAGTGGAAAGGTTCGATTTGGGTGGTCCATTCCGGGTCGGACTCGTCCAGGAAGAGATTGAATGGGCGGGTTTGGGTTGTGTCGTTAGGGTCTGTTTTTGTGGTCCTTACCAAGTAGGGTGACCAGAAAATGGCTATTGTGAAGTTGTAGTTTCTGTATTCATAGCGTTTGCTTTGTTTCTCTGGGGAGATGGAAACATCTACAGGATATTCCACCTGAAAATGCAGCAAAAAAACACCTACTCTATGAGAGAGTGTAAAAACAAAAAATACCTATTCAAATTCAAAGAGAGAGCCTTTTAGATGATAAAAGAGAAAAATACTATGCGTCAATATTTAATTAGTCAGTAATACTATATTATTGATATTTTAGAAACATTAAATTCAAAATTTATGAATTAACTTTTATTTACTTTGGAATTTTTATTGAAAGAAAGACAAAATATAAGACAATAAATAAGACCCTAACTTTAACACAAGTGTTTCATCTCTCAATGAGATAGTTCATATATTCCACACATGAGTTGTTTTATATATTTCACACTTGAATTGGTTTATAAATTCAACCCTTGATATTTCCAACTTTTAGTTTAATCTTCCAACATTATTGAATAAGAAGAAATGCTATATTCTCCCCCGTCAACTTAGGCTATAGTTAAATCACTCTAAATTCATATGTTCTGTCTTCTGTGTGTATGATTACTTGGATCTCCTCCTTGTTGGAGGATTCTTGTGCACCAAATCAATGGCGTGGTTTTGATGTACAGGTACGAGTCTAACACAAGCCATATGTTAGAGCTTTGCACAACCAGTTTTGAACTTAGTGCTATGTACCAAGTGACACCGTTTTGGTGCATAGATAAGAAACCATAGCAAGTCATATATTGGAACTCCACAAGTCATATTTTGGTGCTTTACACAATCAATTTTAAACTTAATGTCGTGCACCAAAATGACCATCGTTTTGATACACAAAACTCCTCCTGTTGATCTTGGTCCCTAATTAATTTTATGTTAAATATTTCTTTCTTAGAGGGATATATATATATATATATATATATATATATGTAAAATGAAGATAAGAGAAATTTATTAATTTGTAGCACTAAGTTAAAATCATCTGCTGGACAACTACTAAAAAAGACAATGACGGTCTAACTTATCTATTGTTTTCACATATGTTGTCGCGGGGTATATGTATTAGTTAATTGAGAATTTAATAAATGTGATGCGTAATTACTCTAACAAGAAGTTGTTGGTATTAGTTTTCAACGTTGCTAACAAAGACTCAAATATGTAAGAAAAAACACGCAATTGGACACTAACGCAAGTGGACATTCAATAACCAACCCCCAACGTGGACATCAATTGCGTCATCCATGAGTGACTCTAATACATATTATTGTGGAAAATAGTCAGCTATTATTTAAAAATAAAAAAGGTGGTTGCTGATCTGATCAGTTGCATTATACAATTCATACAAGAAAGGTTTGTTTTGTTTCATTGCTAGTAAAATTTTAGGCCATATTTCATTATTATTATTATTGGGTAATTCAAGTGTGTACAAAAAGTGACTTGTGATAAAAGACTTGTGATATTTGTGTGGAGATTCCATTGGTACGTCGGTGAATTATGTATAAATAGGAGAATATAGGTCGGCGGGCACATGCCCCCTTGGCGTGGCCAGGCCCTATATAATTATATATATATATATAGGATTTTTTAATTATTTTTACATACATATAGAAATTTATATAATATACCCCTAAAAATATTAGTTTTCATAATTTTCTTTTCAACTTTTTCTCTTTTTTTTCTGATGTACTCTTTAAATTTTTTTAATTTTCATTTAAAAAAAGGTCAAAATTTCCTTCTAATTCGTTTGTCTTCTTTCTTTCCCTTTTTCTTCTCCTTGTGTTTTTTCCTTTACTTCTTAAAATTCTCCTATTATTTATTTATATTTTTTTTGCCACTGTGCCCTGTGAATTTAAATCTTTGGCTCCGCCCCTGGTTAAAGATCATCCAAAATCAAGAATAATGAGATTGGATGACCCCAAATTTTCAAATAATGCCAGACATGGATGACCCCAAAGTTTCAAAAAAGACCAAATCCATACATCAAGGTCGCTAGCTAGTTGACTACTAACCTAAATTTAGCATACTTCATGCTTAATTCTACTGTTTAGTTTTTTGTTTCTTAATTTTAATTCTACTGTTTCCTCTTCAATAATTCCTTCGATTTCTTTCTTCTAAGGTTTCGTGTATAAATACACATATATACTGGCTACTGCTTTGCTGTTGACAGCATGCAGAAGAAACATGCATGTTAAAATAATGAGATTAATATTATACACGAGTATTTTGTAGAGATATCCAATTGTTATTCACTTCCAAAATTTGAGATAATTAAACTAAGAATCTCCATGCTGGCTGCACATGTAAGAAGCCACAATTTTACTATTTCATAACGATACCAGCTGCCACTTATGACTGGGGAGATTATATATATATATATATATGTAAACATATAAATCATGTGCGTACAATTATCTATTCATGCATTGTTAGTAACTTATTGAACTGATCGAGGCAAGAAAAGAAACAAATTAATTAATAGTCAATTAAAACCATCTATGTTAAACCAAATCAAGGATTGAAACAGTCAAGCCACTAGGTAAAGGTATTGGTCATTCAGGAGCTTAATTTGAAACAATCTACACAAGATAAGAAATTGAACAATCCAAAATAATTATGTACGTACCTTAGATAAGAGGCATATCAATGACTGCATGTGATTTCTTGCGACAGAGTCACCCACAAAGGCCAAAGACTTCCCTCTCACAAGCTCTAGGAACTGAACCGGGTCGAATATGGGAAGCTCACAATCATTTGGTTTCCACTTCCATTTCATGTATTCAGTGTCAGGCCTTCCAAATTTCATGCAATTTTGATGCTCCTGAATTTCCCAGCAAGTCTTGTTTGAGTAGTATGGTGCCTCCGGATTCCGAACCCAATTCCCAGAAAATACATCACACTTCTTCTTCTTCTTCTTATTATTATTATCATCACCACTACTTCCTTGTCTGCTAGACCCATTCCAACTGTTAGGGTCCTTGTGCCGGATCACCAAGCCGCTGTTACTAGGGCTAAACAAGTGATCCAGACTTATAGGTGGTGGTGATACAATTGATGATTGTTTCTCTACCTCCTTTCTAGGATATTGTTCCACCACCATGGTTGATGGTCTCTCTGCATCCTTTTTAGGATCGCCACTGTTAGATGTTGGTGATATGATTGATGATGGTCTCTCTGCATCTGCACCTGCATCCTTTTTAGGGTATAGCTGGACATGATCACCACCGCGAATTGGTGGTTTTCTGACATCTTTATCAGTCAGCAAGATTGGAGGGCTAGGTCCGGGGCTACTTTCCGGAGGCGAGTGGTCAAGGATTGGAGGAGGGGGAGCTTCTAGTATTTTTTGGAAAGAAACAAAGGAATAGAATGATTGGGAAATATGGTAATTTTGTGGGATTTTAAGCATAGGGTAATATACAGGGATGATTGTGATGAGCACTATGGCTAGGGCTATTACCGGAGCAATCTTCACGGTGGTCTTCCGTCGTGTTTGGTGTTTGTTCACAGGGATTTCAATGTCTTCGACCTTCATTGAACAGGTTTAGAGAGGGAAATAAATCAAGAGAGAGAAAAGAGAGAGAGATACATACCATGCGCATATTAAAACAAGTTCACAAAATTAGCGGTTGGTTCTAGCATATCAGTCTATTATTTATATATAGAGAGAGAGTGACGGAAAAGATCGAGTAATGAATTTCTTGATTTAATTGAGGGGTAAAGTCTTATTAATCAAAGGGAAATTGATAAATATCAGCGAAATATTTGGTGACTAACTAGTCATATATACTGTATATATATCTGGAATTTTATAATAACAAGACAACATATTTTCTATATTCTTGGAAAGAATGGCAAAAATATGGAGAGAAAATATCGTAATGGAAAAGATCTGGGCAATTTAGAAAATAGGAAAGGAACGTATGGACAATTTGTACATGGGTTTGCAGCTCTGGATTGTAATGATTACAACAATTTGACCTTGCTTCTTTATTATTTAAAAGCGTTTTTATTTTAAAAAATTACTCTTAAATATGTTTGGTAATCAATATAAGAATTGTTATCAAATTTAGTTTGCGTTCAAATTAAGTTAGAATTTGGAGATTTTAAAACTACAAGTAGTTGAATATTTTAAGTAATTATTTTTTATTAAACATTTTTATCTGTTTAATTTTTTATAAAGACAATTACACCCCTTCCTAAGTTATTATTATGAAACATATCAAAGAATATTATTGTAAAATTAGCAATAAAAGGGTTTAAAAAAAATTGTTACCAAATAAACCATACAATAAATTAATTGTAAAAACGTATATTAGATTGTGTAATATTTGTATAATAGATCCAGGTCCAAAAGGGGGTTGCTGAGTTTACCCAGAAGCTGAGCTCGGCCTCAACTAACTTGGAGAAAGCTGAAGCCCAAATTGGAGTGGACGTGCATAGTGCTCTCACAGGCTATGCTCCTTAATTTGATAAGTCCGAAAATTCTCTCTTTAGACTGCCTCATCAACTCAGATTTGTCTCACAGCCGAAACTGCTTTGAATATCTTTGTTTTCTTTTTTCCTTCCCTTGTTTTTTTCTTTTTTGGGTAAAGTTTTCCTTCCCTTGTTGTTGAATGTGAAAATGATAAATCATCTCTGAATTAATTTTATTGTATGGTCTCCGTGATTTTGAGAAACTATGCATTTCTCTTCCAGCATCAGTCCTCTTTGTGAGAGTTTATTATCTTTTAGCTTGGCGTCGTCTTGCACATCCGTGAATAAGAAATTTTTTACACAATAAATAGTGATGGTTGGACATGATCTAAGCGTAAAAAAGATATTTATCAAAAAAAAAAATAATCATATCCAATGGTCGGTATACTCGGGAGAAAGTTTTTTTGCTCACCCGCAAGAGTTCATTTTTGTGTTAACAGATTAGTGTTATGTATCAAGAATTATTGGGGTTGAATTAGCGTAGAAGTCTTTTTATCACATGGATGGACAGATGATCATCTGTTCAACACAATTTTGAGGTTCATCGACTTCATTTAACAGTTTATATGTCATTGGAATTGCTAGTGATTGTGAAAATTTCAAGACTTGTAGTACAAATTTTCTGCCTATGATTGGAAGAGGTTCTGGATTTTGTGGGCTGAATTTCCTGCCGATTTCAGAGCTTGCTTTGGTATTTCTCTTTTATTATATGATATTACACATCATTTTTTTTAATAATTTTTTTTTTTTTCAACAATGGTCACCTTATAATTCACCACAGGTACATGTAGTTATCCTCATCTTAAATGCACCAAGTAGTTATCTGAAAAATTCACTGGGTGCCTTGATGTGCTCAAATTCCCGACGTCTTTATTATTGGGCTATTTTCTTGGGGTTCACATCAATATTTATTTGGATGGAAAAACAATATGGACTACTAGCTAAAATATCTGCAGCTAGCACCAAGACTTGAAAGACTCGGTTGCAATTAAAATATCTTCAACTAGCACTAGAACTTGGAAGATATATCGCTTCCAATTTAGTTGATATTTGTAGACATGGTTTTGGAATTTTCTCACTAATTTGCCTGTTTCTTGTTTTTTGAAAGATGAATTGAATATTATAACAAAGGAAACCGTACAGCCCAAAGCTATAGCTAACCGTATAACAGGCCCAAAAACAACAGTCCAAGCGGGCAACCAAAAGCCAACTAGCAGGCCCAAATACAACAGCCCAAAAGAGATCAACTGATCCCCAAAGTGAAAAGCCATAAACCGTTACAGGACAAGAAACAATGTGCTGAGGTTCTCTCTTCATTGTTGAGATAAGCTCTGAATATTATAATCAAATAATTTGACTTCAAGCTTTATTATTTATCAATAAACACAATTAGGTGTCTTTTATTATTTTTGGGAGATAATTAAATTTAACAGAAAATAAAAAATAAAAAATATTGGTAACAAACTCAATTATAAGTGTAGATACTGGTGTGTCGAACATAGATGACGAATCCAGAAATATATTCTGGAAGCTAATATATTCTGGGGGGGACTAATACCACTATTTTTTTTTTTTTTTGGACTAGGTGGGTTTTAATAACTTTTACGCATTATTTTTTAAAAACTTTAATGTTGGCTATATAACAATATAATTTATGATTTGAAATAAGAAATCAGCATATATGCACGTAGAGTAAGATTGTGTGACCCTTTTAGACCCTGCAATGCTAGGCATACTTTTTTATTTTATAGTTTGTGCATAATTTTTTTTCCTCCAAATATTTACTAATATAAAGAAGAGCTCATGACAAGTTTCATAAGGTTAACCTTATAGTAGCATTATACATATTTCTCTATAGAAAAAAAAAAAAAAAATCCGCCAAAAAATAAAATAAAAGCAATAATAAAAATCCTTGGCCGGCTTCTACTCTTCCCTTTGAATAAAAGAATCGCTCAATACATAGTTGTCCGCTCCTATGCTTATTTTGATTTTTTTTTTCGGAAAATATTTTGATAGGCGAACTATTCTTTCGCCTTTTATTTTGAATTTGTTATGCCTTTGGGCTTGTTTCAGGCTTTCACCCAAGTTCCGTCTGTGTATGCCACTTGTAAATTTTTTTTGAATATATATACATAATTATTGAAAAAAAAAAAAAAAAAAAAAAAAAATTGGGAGTTGATATTTGCGCTCCGCAATAATATTCAGTGAGTGTTCCACTTTCATTTTTTTTAAATTAAAATTACAAAACAATCCTCACATCACACCAGATTTCTACAATTTTTAATTTCATAATTGCCCTTTTAGGATTATTGGCCAAAAAACAAAGAAAAAAAACATAATAGAATTCGTTAGCAACTTCTCTCACGTTACCTCCCCTCTCCTTCTGAAAATATGGTATCTCACTAATACAAGCACTGTTGAAGAAATCTTAGAAATCTATGAATCTGTTAACTCTTATAATTTCTTACTCTTTTATTCTATATTTTTTTCCTTAGAATATATTTTTGTGTTGATTTTGAATTTTTTTTTTTTTTTTTCTTGATCAATCTATTAAATAAAAGAAGAAAAGTTTAGGATTGAAGATAATAAAAGGCATGTGATTAGACTAAATGATATTTGAATTAGAAACAAACTATATATTAATAAATAGATCATATCTCATTATAGAAAAAATATTTAATTAAATAAAAGTTTAATTTTACTAAAATAGAAACGAAACAATGTTGTATATACAAGATTGTTTGTTTAACTTAATCATGTTGATATTGATCAAATTATGGAACATCAGTAGGAGGCGAAGTTAACGAAAAGTTAGGTTTAAACATGGTGCAAATATAAAAGAGGCAGCATGTTTCAGTATAATCAAAAATTCACTATCATCAATGGAGACAAACTACAAGTTGAGCTAATCCTAAAACTATCCTCAAATTTTGTATAAACAGACATTTGTGACAAGCACACTAAAACAAGTTAAATACCCTTTTTTTGGATCCAAAAAACAAAGTTTGTGATCATTAATGAACCAAAAAAGAAATTTCAAGGTTGGGTCTTTGGCGGTTCCAAACTGTCCCTCTCAGCTTTTCTGTAAGCACAACAACTGATGGTGAGCACAATGGCAAGGACTATAGAGAACAAGACGTTGGAGATGGCATTATATGTCCAAATAGTCTGGTACGTCACTATGTTCGCCGCCTTGCATGAGTTGCAGTCATAGCACTGTTTCTTCTCATCGTTGCTCCATAATTTGCAGTCCCTGTCTCTACTTCGAATCCCCGATCTCGGAACCACCCAAGCCGACCCGTTCTTGTACACCAAACCACATGCAGGAGGAGGCTGACAACAACCATACTGGATCAAACCAAACAACATGGATCATGGTTAATCATCACTTCATCCTTGCCAATTTAACAACAAAATTAAATAAATAAATAAAAATTTTGAACGTTTTTGCACGAATGTGACTAAATGCTGCCATTTCAGACAGCAGAATTGGTGAGATTAATAATGAGACGATTTGTGTGTTTGTGAGAGAGAGAGAGAGAGAGAGGAGAGAGAGTACCAAAAGAGGGTAAGTTTTTAAATATTCAACTTGCTCCTTATCAAGGAAGTTGATCTTATAACATAATTTGCCTTGAACCATACATTCCTTGACCGAATTCCAATTCTTGCCATACACTCCATATGTTCTGAGCCATGCAGGGTACTCGTTGAGCTTATATTCCGTGTGTTCTTTGATCGCCATTGACACCGTGGTCGACGACACGAACGACAACGTGGCGTACGAGACGTTCACAACCATCCAACCAACCAAAGACCACACATAAATGGCTAAAAAAAGCTTGTGGTTCCGAATGGCACCTATCATGGCCACCACCGACAGCACGAACACCAGGATCCCGAACACGAGCTGCGTCACCGGCGAACCCATGCATTCCGGATAGCCTCCCACAAGCAAGTAGGAGGATCCCACAATGATAAAGAGGGACCATAGCAGAGCCAGAAAATTCAAACTAGCAACCACAATGTTGCTAATCCCAGCCATTATCTCTACTTTCCTGGATAAATCGGAGACATGTCTCTATTGTCAGTGGTGTTTAGTTGATTTCATGGCAGAGAACACACAAAATTGGGGTTGCAGCTGGGGCGGCACCGGAAACGTATGAGGGTTATGCTTATATGTTTTAAATACAGGTTGTTAATTTTCATTTTGGATTGTACCTCTGTTTTTCCACCAAATATGGTATGAGTTGTTGGAAATCCATCTATGCCTTAAATGTAAAACCCAATTCAAAATTAGGGTGTATTAAGTTGATTTGAGCTTCACCAACTACTCATTATTAGAAACGGTTAATTTTAAACAAATAAAGCTGTATCTAAGCTGGTTTGAGCGACATCTTAAACAAAAATAAAAAATTATTTTTCTTTTGAAAAAAAAGTGGATACAGAAGATATATCAAGACATCTTATTTTAATATTTAAAAAAAAAAAACAAAAAAATCTTATTTTAGAAACATACCTGAATTGAACAAAAAAAAAAAAAAAAAAAAAAAAAGACGAGAGAAAAAAAACAAGAATCATCTGACTTTTGTAATCATATTGACATCGCTGGAGAATTATTTCAATGTATTTTGGCTGCGTTTTCAAATTGGAATCCCTTGTTTCCATGATTCCATTACATTAAGTAATAAAACCTCGGCAGAGAGAAAATAAGATAATTGGGTGTGTGTGACGGTAAAACCAATGATCTCAGGAAAGTTGAGGTGGTTGGGTTGTATGGTCAGGTGACAATAGCAAAAAATTGTTCCGACAAAAACGTTCCAGACCACACGGGCATTTTTACAAATGTATTGCTTTTGCAATTTACAGTCATTTAAAAGTTAGGGTAAAGTACATTGACACCCCCCTGAAGTTTGAGGAAAAGACAAGCAGAGGAAAGTTAGTCTGTTTTTGGGACAATGACACCCCTTCAAGTTTGAAAAATGGACAAAGAAACCCTGAAGATGGTGAATTGACCTTATTACCCTTTCAAACAAAATTAACATTTTAATTGACTTAAATACCCTTTGATTGAACCCAAACCCAAACCCGAACCCGCCTTGTACAATTCACCAGAGGAGAGAGAAGGGAGATCAGATGGATGGTGGTTGTGGCTGCAGTTGTAGTGGTGGGTGTAGAGAGAGGGGGAAGAGAGGGGCGGCCTTAGTTGAAAAGATGAGGTGAAGAGGAGAGAGAGGAAGAAGATAGGAGAGAGATTGTGGTGATGGCTGCGACAGTGGGGGTGGCGGCGGCGATGACTGCGACAGTGGCGGCGAAACCCAGAAGCATCGGCGAAAGAAATTGCCGGCGAAACCCAGAAGCATCTGTATGTGTATATACACACACTACATATACTGCCACTGCCATCAACATCACCCCTCCGCCGTCGCCAACATCACACCTCAAACTCCGCCACCGCCGCCACATCATCACACCTCAGCCGTCGGGGTTCACCCTTCACGCTCATCATCATCACACCTTCACACGCTCCTTGTTCAGCGATGTTTTTTCGAAGCTCACCATCTGTCGCTGGGGTTCACCACCTCCTTCATGAAATCCTTGTAAGTTACAGACGAGGTTGTGGTGCTCACCATCTGCCGCCGGTGCTAACCACCTCAATTTCTCGGCCTTAGAAACCGACCGAAGCCACCTTTGCTAACCCTTGCTCCGGCTTCACCTCCTACCAACAACGGCCACATCTACAAGCTTTCTCTCACATACAGAGCTCACAGCAACCCTTATCGGCAGCGAAACCACCGATTTCATCCTCAACTGTCCACATCATCCAGATCTAAAGATGACGGAACCAATTGTAGAGTCAAGCCAAACGCCCCTCCTTCAGCAATCACTCCATACTCAAAGCTTCGCTCTACACTCAAACATCAACTCTCTGCCGCCGTCAAGAATCAAAGACGCCGGCGTAGGGAATATGTCTCTGTCAATCCTTGATCTGTCCGCTTCACACCAGAAACTTGCGGCGGCGGCTGAGGAGTTATTTGAGGGGTTATTTGAGGGGTTCTTGGAGGATGAAGGTGTCGGTGAAAGGAGTAACCAACATGTGAACGAAGGAGATGGTGAACCACTCGTCGGCCGGTGGTTGGAAGGTGTGGAAGTGGTGTCATGGCCGGGTCTGGGTTGGATAGGTTTACAATATACATATAGATATATAAATATATAATATATGTATGTATTGGTGTAATAAATGTATAAGGGTAAAAGAGTCATTTAAAAGTTTTGATATTTTATAATTTAAATTAATAAAATATTAAAGGGCAATCTTGACTTTTTACAAAATTTAAGGGGCTGTTTGGATCAAGTTTTTGATCGGGGGGTGTGATTGTCCAAAAATAGGCTAACTTGTATCTACTTGTCCTTATGCCAAACCTCAGGGGTGTTTGTGTACTTTACCCTAAAAGTTAAAACAGTTGACTGCTCAATTTCACCTAAATTTATTAGAAAGCAATACAAATTTTCAAATTATTTATATGTTCGATACAATATCCTATATCAATTATCAAATAGATTGTGAAAATAGGGGATAAAGATAGCTATGGAACTAATAGAAGTTATCACTAAGGACAGTTGGGGTCTAGTAGTGCTATTTTCTTATCTTCCAAAACAAAAGAAGTTAACTGGTTCAAATTTCATAGGCCCAAAGCGGATATGTGAGTGTTTCTCATCAAGTTTTTTTTTTTTTAAATAAATAAAAATACGGAGTTGTGGACTGTCAAACTCGTGACAAGTGTTTCAAGCAAGTTAAGAATGTTTAGCCTTTTTGACTTTAATATGTACGTGAATAATCAACTTAATCTGCTTGCTTCAGCATAATTGGCATCGAAATGGTGCACACATTCTACTAGCAAGTGCTGATATAGGGTTCCTTGAGCCATTATTAATAAAGGATATTATGAATTATACAAAAATAATAATAATAATCAAGGATATTAGATGTCATCTCTACTAGATGCCCCTACAAAATGGTATTGACTTCAAAGGTAAATTTTACAAAAATTTAAGTTTTGATGAAATTAAATTTCAATTAAAATTTTCTAACTCAAACAATTGAATATTATGGGGTGATATTAATTTAGAATTAACAAATAATGACCACTTCGAATTAAACGTAAACAATAAAGATACCTCATTCATGTAGTCAATTTCACAAAATGATCGGAATGAAAGCACTCTCAATTAATAAAGTTTGTATATCAGTATCAGAACTGAGTTCACGGTCGGTATTTGGTTTGAACAGAAATGCTTGTACAGAATAATAGTGTTAGATGATTTGTACCTTATGAGATACAATACATCTATTATGTTGAAGCATGCTAACGAAAGTCATGGTATAGCATTTGCAGATCCTTGCAGTGAATGCAAGTCCATGGAAACAAGGGAGGGTCCAGGCAGTAGGAATGAACGCATCGTATCTGGCAGAGAAGACATCTAATGAGAAGATCTTCCGGTTCTCGACAAAAGCATTCACAACAAATTGGTCCAACTGAGGTCTACACATTCCCAAAACACAAAAGCAAAGGAAAAATAAGCAATGAAAACTATCAATCCTGAATAAAAGTTCAATCATGTGTCGAAAAGATATGTTCAAAAGCAACCACATCAAGGCAATAGATGAACAGGCAAAAACAAAAAAAATGAAATAGATGAACCCAGCTAAATATATACAGCTAAGGATTACTCAAGATGGTGCTCCTGCCTGCCGCTATGGTACAAATGGCAATTGGCAGTCAACCAAACGTGTCCAAGACACAGCAAAGTTCACATAAAGGACTTTTAAGAAGGATAACTGGAAATAATAGAAAAAAATGGAATATGGACTGAACATGTGCATGAGAAGTACCACCAATTGAAGATGAGGGCAAGTTGTCTGCCACTGTTTGGTCACTTGCGAAAAAGGCCAAGAAATTCTTCAGTAAAGCAATGTTTGTGTTAAGTGTCTAGGTGATAAGAGCATAAGAAAGGTCATTATCAAACAACCAAGAAAATTTGAACATTACATTTTTTGTAATAAAAAAATACGTAATCTGGATCTATTTTGCATGATAAATTGATAATTCAATGGATAATTGTTTTAAATGCATAAATTTAAATAGCCAATCGTAGTTTACTGAGACAGTACAAAAGTACCATGTGGTACCTTCCTATTACCTATATTAAAGAAATGGAAAATCACATGAATTTATATAAAAGACAGGTAGAGAGAAACAGGCAGAAGGTATCTCAATTTTTGTTTGGGCAAACTTGTATTATCAAAAGCAATACCAACAAGAAGGCAAACATTTAGAACATGGAAACCTACCTGGGCTCCAAAAGTGGGCATTTCTCCATCAGGAAGAATGACTATATTTGTTGTTGAAGGGTCATATGGAATAGTTTGCGAGTATATTTTTTGATCAGAAGAACCCACATCATCCACCTTTGTGATGCTTCCAAATTTAGCCTTGCATAAAGGGCATGTCAAAATCTTCCGCATAGAAGCCTACAAAACCATTACCACCATTGGACACATTAAAATGGAATAATTCAAGTGCATATTAACAAAGCCTATACCAGATAAAAATTAATTCATCATCAGAAAAAGATTTTCAACAATACAGCGTCCGAATGCAGTTCTTGTCAGTCCTCATTTAATGATCTTATTACTTATTTAATGACCCTAAACTATTAGGAGCTTTGTTACTAGATATATGTACTTCCCCCAAACAATGTCATCTTGTTTCTATTTAGTATAGATTATAATTCTAAATTTTTACTCAAAAAAAAAAACCGAAACAGTGGCGAGTCATCAATTTTCTTCAACCTGGTTAGATTGAAATTACCAAATATCTCTCAATTATACAAAGCCCTATCAAGCAGAGGGCTTACTCTGGTGCATACTGAATGTTGTCCAAATGTCTTCTCAAAGCAATATGACACACAAGTTGATACCTTTGGGAATCTATAATGTGTCAAGAAACAGATTCGCCAAATGAAACTTTATTAAGCTGAAGTTAATTCAACCCTCCCATCCCATAAACCTGAGGTTGGTTGGCAAAAAGGATCAAAACAACAAGAGTTGCAAATAGCATGATCGATTTAAATCCACTTTCAAAAGTTCAACAGAGGGTATGTTCTGTCTATGATACTAGGATGGAAATATTAAGACAAATCCAATAGTTGTCATTATTTTGCATGAAGTGGCTACTCAATGACTAGAACGAACTTGAATCCTCTTGCTTGTCAATTTGAGTTTTTACCATTTCACCGAGCAATGACCCCCAATCAATTTAATTCCGAGAAATATTTTCTAAGCATTTGCATAAAACCAAAATTAACATGGGATGAAATCATTAAAAATTACTTTTAAAGGTTAGATATTATAAGAGATGGCTTGTAATAGAAAAAAAGTGGAAAAAGAGAACTCATGTACCCAATCCATTCATATGGAACTAAGGCAAGGATGATGATGAAGTATTCTAACCAGGAAGTTAGCCAAAAAAAATATATATATATACAAGATCTATTCTCTAGATTAAAGAGCAAAATGAGACCTCAACCATTATTCTGCATTTCACGGATTACCAAAATACCACCATTATATAAACTTTGTCTAATTTAATAGATATGGATAAGTAAAAAACAGGATAAACATTCTCAATGGTTCAATGTTGACAATCACACAATAAAAATAATATGAACTTGTGATTCTTATGAAAGTAAATTTCTTCAAATAGAAAGGATACCAACAACATTATTCAGAATTGCACAAGAAGTAACAAACTTTTTTTTTTTCATCAACTAACAAAGATTTGATAAGCACATACAGAAATCTGTAAATAAATTGGCGGAGGGGAGGGAGAACTGAAGAAGCAGAGAATGCATACCATATGGTCAGCCCAGCTCTGAATGCATGAAAAACAGAAGCGATGTCCACATGGCAAAACCCCCCTGGTTGAACTAAAGTCTGTCCAACAAATAACACATGATAACTCTGTAGATGAAGGCAATCTAGTGCTATGTTCGGCCTCTTTTATGTTCTCATCAACATCAAAACACTGATTTAATGGAGCTCCTAAAGAAGATGGTGTAGCCTTACTACGCAAATTTGAATCTTCAAAAGCAAGATCATTCGTATGTCCAATCTCTTCAAAATCTTCCAAATTTTCATTTCTATTTCCTCCGTCGTCATCATAAAACCCACCATCAGATGTTCTAATTCTCAATATGTTTTCATTCCTCCCACAATCAAAATGGAAAGATGGAGCCGTCATGTCATTAGGTTGGTGGTGATCACGAACTGGGTAGCTCTCTTCCTCAGAATCCACGCAAAGAAACTGTGACATGTCACTACTAAAACTCTTTTTCATCAGCCTACGACACTTGCGAGAAGGTTCAGTTGAAGTAGTGCTTCTTCTTTTCTGTCTCACCACTTCCACAGAGGAAGGAGAACTTGAATCTTCATACTATGAACAAATCAAATTAAAAAAATAAAAAATAAAAAAAAAAACAGGCAAAAAAGATATTCAAACCTTCTTTGTAAAATGATTTAGTTGTCAGCTGAGTAAGGTAATGGACAAAAACAATAAAAAATTATGACAGAGAAAACCCAATTTTGATGACCTGAGAATACAAAACCATTATCTACACTTTCTAAAATAACCCTCTGGCGTACGTAAAGACCATCGGTTAAATAATAATTTATGGAACCAAACAAAGGCTTCAAATTTTTTATTTGTCCGACTGTCTCAACAACAATGAGTGTTTCTCCAAAATGGCAGCCAAAGGGGGACATACTCTGGCGAACTAAAAAATGCTAGTATGTATAAGCCAATTAATATCAGGTTTGGTGAATACTAATGTATTGACTAGAGCAAAAAAATCTAGAAGACATCTGTCAATGCATAAGCTAAGTGCTAAGTGATTACTAATTTATCCACGACCTGAATGGTAATGCACATCACCTTAAGCGAAGTGCTTCTTCCATATTCAACCTAAGCAAGGGCTTGCCCTTTCACAAATATAGCAGCTCATACATTCATGAATGCTAACTGCGGCTATCCCGGGCCTCAAATCAATTCACCGGTATTAGCATCCTTTTGTACATGGTACTTGTAAACATTTGCTAAAGCACTTATATTGAACTATGGCTGTCCTAGGCCTCGGATCAAATCATCAGTATTAGCATCCCTTTTTACATGACACTGCTTCAAGCGTACCAAAAACAAGGTCCATTGACAATATTCTCTTAATTATATTAAATGTTAGGGTCAAATTATCAGAATATACAAGGTTCACTGAGGATTGACAAGCAACACAAACTGAACTGAGCCTCACACCAGTACTCAGGATACCTATCATATGCAATGTATCTAACCAAGCTTAGTCCATATACTTCAGCATGTAACACTACCACACAACGCATGCTTGATTGCCTGCCTTCACATTATCCTTTCCACTAGAGCTCGCTTGGCCCATTTTAAGAGAACATTCATGAAAGAAAATCAATTTTCCTTTTATTGTGCTAACTGCTAAATATATACATTAACAATTATAAACTGACATATTTATGAATTACACATAATTCACAACAAATATTGACCCTTCTCAAAATGAAACTAAACAGCGAATGAAAATTATAATACACACAGCACCATTTATAAAAAGATGGGGGAAAATAAATGAAGTGGCCAAGTTAAACTTGAATTTATTTATATTTATTTAATATATCAATGACAATTTTTCGAACAGAACATAAGAAAGAGAAGCCGACACTATTAATAACTCCATCTTAGTCGCAACAAATTGGCTCATCAGATACAATGGAAGGAAAAGACGGGGAAAAAATAAAAATAAAAGAAAAATAACCAATTCATTACCTCCATTCTATCAGAACTGGATACAGGTGGCTCCTGAAAACAATATCTGTTGCCAGAATAACGATCCTGTCTCAATTTGTTTTTCATTGTTTTCTTCTTTGATTTATGAGACCTATTTTTGCTTGTTCCTAATTCAGAAAACAAGTTCTGCAATAAAAAAACATACAAAGATCAAGCATAAATTTTTGAGTGGCAAGAGCTCCAAATTTAAATTAGTAGTAGAAGTAATCAAATAGGGATTTATCCAAGGTTTGTAGCAAGAGTATCCAACTGAGGCAGAAGCATTAACCCTGTGTGTATAAGACAACCTTATACAAGCAAAATCAGATAAAAAGATACAGCTAAACTTGTGATACTAGAAAAGTTAAAGGAAGTTTATACCCTTGAGATACCAATGTACCAAAAGTAAATAAATAAATGGATAAACATATCAGCATTAACTTAGTACAACCCAACAAGTAATTGATCCACATACACATAGAGAGCAAGCTTTACAAAGTTAGTTTTCCCTCTGATTAATATTTCTAGAGTTTGCAATATCGTAACTCAAGAATTGAGGAAATTTGCAATTACAATTCAAAGAAATGGGGTGGTGGAGATTGTCTGCCATCCACTGTTTTTTACTTTCTATTCATTCAAATTGTACTTGATCTTGCTGTGGAGAGAAAAGAGAACTGGTCTGCACCAGCAAGAAAACTTCTTTTAAATTCCCCATTCAGAACTATCCAAGATTAAGGTTTGCTCCTAAACTTGCCCGGGAGAAAAAAATTCTTCCCGTTAAACACATTTTGCAAAACAGAATATTGTAAGTGTTCAATCTGTAAGGTTTTATGGTGCTTCTGGATTCTGGAACTTTCTATTTTCCAAGCAATTCAAACAGACGATTTGGAGAATGCAACATTCTGCATGAAATATTCTTCAAAAAGCCCCTGGAAACTGCACTCATTTTTTATATTGAAAATCTAGATTAAATTCGTCGGATGAACTGCTTGTTTCCAAGGGACTTGAGGCCATCAAAGCTTTGACATAAGAGTATGCAGTTCATTTTTCCATCCTCCTATTCTGTCAGTATCCACCTGTATAATCCTACTATTTCCTTGAAAAATAACAACAACAACAACAACAACAACAAACAAACAAAAAAAAGAATAGAAAAAAAAAGAGAGATTACAAACAAAAAACTACCCTCTTTTCAAACAGACAAGAAGATGTGATATTAGTTACATCAAAAGGACTAGTTTCACGCATATACATGATAAAAATAGAGCTATATTTATTTGCTGTTTTAAATTTAGACGTCACTATACGTACAATAAGATGTTGGTTGTTCCCACAGAATTGATGGTGTGGAAACATGCATATGGGTCACTTTTAAGCAAAAATTTCATAGATGCTTTCAATCAAAACTGAGCTCTGGGCTTAATTACATGCTTGAGACTAGATATCAAAAGTTCAAACAACCTTCATGTAGCAGCCAGTTAACAATTTAACAATAAAATAAATAATATAGAGAAGGACCAAATCTTAAAGTTGTACAACTCAATTTTTAATGCAAATTAATAAGGCACGTGAAGATATTTTACATTGTCGGAAAATCCAAGCGTCACCCAACTTTCTGAATCATTAACTGCATTTTTTTAAATAATAAATTTCATTGTTTGTAAATAAAAAGAGAAGGATTGAATGAATACCTCATCCAACAGAAAACAATCAGTCAAGACTACATCATTAGTTCCTTCACATCTGATATTAATAGCCGGTTCTTTAGAGTCAATAAGTGAATTGGATTGGGTAGAAAGCAAGACACCCATCTTCCCAGCAACAGGCGAGACTTCCAATGATAAGGGCCCCACCTCTTGCCCGCTGCAGAATAAAAATCCTAGAAACTTAAGTTCCTAACTAGTAATATAATGGATGCATAATAATCAAGCATTTGTTACAGTTAATTTTATTTATGAGAAGAAAGTCAGAACAAGTATCACAATTAAGTTTGACAAAATAGTTAGAACAAGTATCAAAATTAAGTTTTGCAAGAAATTTATAGCTAATTAGCACGATCAAACTTATAACATTTGCAGGATAAAAGGAACACTTAAAAAAAAAAATTAAAAAAAAAACATCAGTCCAATTTGCTAAGCCTAAATTCAGAATCTGTTGCAAAGGAAGCTTCTGGGATTTTAGCACGGCTTAAACAAGTACAAGAAACATTATTCTATCGTAGTTAGATGAAAATTCAGAGCTCAGCAATGTTAATTATGTTATGCGAAAAGAATTTGCAATTACAGTCATTGACTTGCTGCACTTAAAAAAAAAATAGTCAGATTGATTGATTTATTTATTTATTAATTGATGAATGCAGATTATCCTGTATGTGTGGCTGTGCATGTGTGCGCAAATTAACCAAAACAACAAAATTGGGAAACCAACAGATACATCATAGTATATATATTATCTGTATCTTAACCACAAAAATTAACAGAAACTCATAGTTCAAATATACCTCTGCAATATATAGGGATGTTCCGGAACACGTCTTCTTTGCTTTATGCATTCTTCAACCCAACGATGATTAACTATCAAAGTGTTAAGCTTCTTAGCAAGGTCATATTTCCTTCCTTCAAGTTTCCAACACACCTAATCATTCGAGTAGGAAAGAGCCAATCTTTCATACGTCATGCACTCAATAATTCCCAAAAAAACATAGAAAATAAATAATTGACAGCTTCACAATTTATCAAAGAGGAACAGGGAGATGGAACGCACCAAATGTGTCGTGGATCGATTCATCGATCCAACAAAACTCGCACCAGTTTGAGATATGAGCTTGATGATCTTGAAACGGTCCGATCCGTGGTACCCACTGACTGTGGCGACAACCGATTCCATGCCTCGAATGGAAAATTTTACGGTTTCTGTGAAAATGAAGAACCTAGAGGTCTCAAATCTTTACAGAAACCCTAAAAATGAATCTCTATGAAACAACGTCAATTGATGCATAGCAAAGATTCTTATCAAAATATAACTGTGTAGGTAAAAGTTTTATTTAAAAACAAACTTATTTAGAAAAGGTTTGTGTTAGAGAGAGAAAATTAGGTTACAGTACTTAAAAATACATATATATTTATATATCGTCCATGTATTTATAGAGAGAGAATTTGACCTTCGGAGTGGTTGTGACGGAAAAAGCTTTGCTGCTGAAGCGATTCGTCTTCCATGGTGTAGTGTGTGTGTGTGTGTGTGTGTGTGTGAAAGAGGGTAGCGGAGAGGAGGGCCTTGCCGGGAAAGTGAAATTTGAATTCGCTGAAGATAAGATATAATATCGCCCAAATTTAAAGACACGGGGTCGGGTCGAATGAAATTATTATTATTATTATTATTATTTATTATGGGCGAAGTCTGATTCGTGTGAAGAAAAACTTTTTTTAAGGAAAAAAAAAAAAAACGAAATTCAACCTGCAGCAGTATAAATCCGAAATAAAAACAATTGAATATTTTCTTTCCCAGAATCCAGAAAAAACATTAAAATTAATACACAATAATCAAGTAACACAATAATCCGGTTAGTTGAAATAAATTGACGTGTCCATTACTCCATTATAAAATTTTAAAATAGTTCTCCTTTACAAATTTTACACAATTAATTAACGAGACGGTAGAAATATAAAATAAATGCCTTTGGTACTGTTTTGTTAGAACTAAAAATAAAAAAACTTATAGCTTCTGCGTTATTAAATTAGAATTGCTGAAATTGATAAAAAAAAAAAAAATAGTTTAACTTTCTTAATTACATTTATCCAATTTCATGCCTGCCAAACACAACCATATAAACCTCCCGCAAAAAAAAAAAGGAAAAAAAAAAAACCATAACCACATTTTTTAAGTTGAAATTTTCCGAAAAATCATATATATATATATATATAAAACTAAACCAAGCATAGCTTCCCATTCAACTTTAGATACCTTTGTAATTACTGATCTACTAGGGAGGGCATGACAAGCCAAAAAAATGTGAAACATCCATAAGAAACAAGACCATGCTAAAGAAATAAATAAAGATGCTGCTGGAAACGACAAATATCTGCAGAAGGAAGGCTTCAAAATCTTATCTCCCAAATACAATTGGTTAAACTTTACCAACCAATGCATGAATTGTCACCAACTCAAATCATTCTTAATAGAGCGCTTCCTGAAAAAGGATGAGTAGGGAAGAAAGAGAAGGCAAATGTAGGTGATATATCATGATGAAAACTACTGCAAACAAAAGAAATTGTCAAAGAACACCAATCACAGGAGCAATGTTTCAAGCTCATCTTCGAACGGGGTTCCCACCATGCGGCAGTGCCTCATACCCACTTCCAGCACGATTAGGGGGTGTTGCAGACCCATACGGAGCATTGGTTGCAGGTGGCACTTGCCCTTGAGGTCCAACTGCACCTCTGGATGGTGCATCATAGCCAGCACCCTTGGTTGCTTCTTTACTAAATCCTCTTTGTACATCATAACCGGGTCCTCTCTGTGCCTCGAATCCAGGTCCCCTCTGTACATCGTATCCAGGCCCTCTATGTACATCGTATCCAGGTCCTCTCTGAATATCATAACCGAATCCTCTCTGGATATCATAGCCAGGTCCTCTCTGTGCATCATAACCAGATACTCTCGGCGCATCATAACCAGATACTCTCGACACATCATAACCAGGTCCCCTCTGCCCATCATATCCTGTTCCCTTCTGTGTCTCGTAATTAGGTCCCCTCTGTGCATCGTAACCAGGTCCTCTTTGTGCATCATAACTGGGCCCTCTGGGTGCATCATAACCAGCCCTTGTTGGAGTAGGTCCAGATTGGGCTCCAACATGACCAGGAGTACCACCAGCACCAGCACCAGCAACGGCAGCAGCTGGAGGTCCACCACTTACAGCAGGAGGGAGGGGACCATGTCCCTGCCATGCAAAATGCAAGAGTAACGTCAGATTAAACTTTCATCAGCTGAATAAAAAGGAGACGGTGAATATATAAAAATAGCTTTATAATTTTAATTTGGGGTAAATGCTTACTGTTCCCTTCTACTGGGCCCAAAACCTACAAAATTCATTGCCTCATGCTTCCTACTCTCATTATTAACATCTTATGTTTGAGCAAACTAAAACATATATATGTATCAATAATTAAATCCACAAAGAATCTAACTACAGAATTAGTAGTTAGGCGTTCTGAAAAGCCAACGTTCTGCATGCCCACACCAAGTAAATCTTGATATTTAGTACTCCAATTGTTTTTTGGTTATTTTAGCAAGAAAAATAACCAAAAAAGAAAAAGGCCTAGAACATTTAGATGTAGTGTATACTGACTATAGAGAGTCACACGCTACTGGGAGCCCTATGTCTACAACAAAATGCAGAAATCACAAGAGTAGCAGTATGGAACAGAAAGATACTGAACTTTTTTCCAACCGATAACCAGACTTGCTGCTTTCTACGAGCTGCCAATTATCTGCTCATCCTTTTTGCTTTCATTTCTCTTTTTTGGTACGCAACCATAAAAAAACACATGAAAAAGATTGTAGTTTTAAACCAAGTTATTGCCTAATTATATTGTTTAATTTTGCCATAGCTTAAGAAGTTGGGGAAGCCACGAGTGCTGAATAATATTGTGGAATATTATTGACACACATGCTTCATCGAGATTTATCGGCCACTGTTTCATTTCCAAGCTTCTTAAAAGAAGTAAACCTTCAGGTGCACGTGCTAAATATTTGGTCTTGAGAGGGTCGTCATCAAATAAATAACTTCTCAAGTATGGTGATCGTATTGTATTATATTTAACACATAAAATAGGCTCTTTTTTTCTTCACTGAACTAGAAAAAATTGGCACTTTTGTTTCAATAATATGGGGGTCAACCACTTCTGGAAACATACTGCAATGTCAGCACGTGTGATAAACCATTTGTTCTTGAGAGGGCAGTCAACAATAAGTAACTTCTCAAGTATGGCAATCATATAAAAGTATTTTTAACACCAAAAATGGGCTTTTTTCAATAATTTGGGCGACACGGGCATGCAGATGAACAATAGGTCAGCCACATGTCAACAGACAGGGACTTGGAAACATATAGAAATGTCTCCCATGGTGCCATTCTATTTTCATGACAGTGAATCACTTCATGGAGCACCAGATCAGGCGCTCTTGAAAATATCTACAAAATATATGTATCTTCTTGCACCACCCAGTCATTTGTATAGATGCCCCTGACCTTGAGGTAGAATATCAAATGATGATTTTAACCACCAAGTCGTAGAGGATGTTCTACATTAAGGGACATTCAATTCACGGGGGGACGCAAGCCAACAAAGTCTTCTCCCAATTACTTGGGTCGGCTGCATGATTTTTTATTTTTTATTTAAAAAAAAAAAAAAAAAGCAAATACACAATATGTAGTATACTTATATGTTTCTATATGCATTTTTTTCTTCTTTTTTTTGGGATTTCGATGGTATGACACCCTTCACCCATATCTACAAATCATAGGATTATCTATGAATTTTCTCTCCATCAAAGATTAGCATGTGCACACTCCAACACAACATGCATGCCAATACGTTTGGCACCAAATTAAGAGCTAGAAAGCTCACTTACCTCTATATGATAATGAAAGCAAAAACATTTAAATGCAACTCCTTAAAGCTATCACTGTTGAATCTTAGGATACATTAATTTCCAAAGGTATGCACAATGTGACTTAGAATGGAGAGTACTCTTATAAGTTAGCCATCATTGAGCTGTCCAATGTCAACATCCAAACACGTACATATAACAGATATGATTTTTTCATAAGTGTATGTCATGATTCCCTGCATAATATTCGTTTACAAAGAGCTGCTATCTCCAAAATCGAGTATATAGTATCAAAGCAGACCAGTCATGTTTGTGTTCACAGATTAGCAGTTCATTATTTCTTTCAGTGGACAGTTTAATTTTCATCTCAAGTTAAGTTTGAAAGAATCCTAGCATCTTTTACATTATATAGAAGATGAATACAGAATTATCTTAACATGCGATGTTATCAAAATAAAACTTATGACAAAATCCAAAATGAAGAAAATATCAAACCTGAGGAGCACCATAATTATCTTCGTAGTTGTTTTGTCCAACTGGGTAATGCCCAGAACCCTCATTCTCATTGTATCCAGTAGGACCACCATAAGGCCCACCTGCATATAATATGCAAACCATTAAGCATCCATAGGTTAATATAAGAACCAAGGGTTTCAAAAAAGAATGTGAGGTATCGAAACTAGTAAGGATACCAGCTCTTCTGTCAATGTTAGCATTATTAGTCAACTCTGCCCGAAGTTTTTCCACCTCCCTGGCCATGTTCATATAGTTCCTCTCCATCACCTGAAGAGATTCAAGATGCTCGTTGTATAATTTCTTCTCATAGTCATAAGTAGCCCTGCACAGACCAAATAACAAAAGACAAGGCATCTTTAAACCTGCAACTTCAATTTTGCAGTAAATTGAACAAGGAGAAAGTATTATATGTGATAAGCTCTAAACCATAAGCCAAATGGGGACGATGAGCTTCTCATAACAGGCTTAACTTTAATAGTTTTCCTTTTGGAGTAATTCGTGAGAAACCAGCATCCCATTTCTTAAATTAGAACAAAAATAAATAAATAAACAAAAACGCCAACTCCGAAGCCAAATATAAACATTAGAGTCATAATATTCAGGCCTACTAGTTCGGCCTATTTCCCACTTCAGGCCATTAATAGCCATAATTGTTTCACTTTGACAAATAGGCCTAACTAGTAAGCATGAATATCATTTTACTAAACATTATTATGGAGTCATGTGAACTCCGCTTGTGTCATCTTTACAGAGCCGATCCCAAGCCCGGATAAAGGAGAAGAGTTGCGTTAGGTAGCTTGACAGCCAGCGTAAAACTTTGTCATGACCCCAATTAGTTGAGTAAAGGCTTTGTTCGTTGTTATTGTGTGGAGTCATGCACCAGAGACCTTAATTTAAGCATCCTATTTTACTCCACATGTCAATAGAAATCCCTTTTTTTTATTTCATGTCGCTTCACGTCACACCCATTAAAAAATAAGGGAAACAACTACCTGCAATACTGATACTCTTGTCTGAGGCTCTCAAGTTCAGACATTAAAGCAGGAATCTGCTGCACATCTGATTGGGCCCTCTGAAGATCCTGAGACAATTGTTGCACTTTAGATATAAGTTCTTGCCTTGCTGCAACCAAGCTCTGGGCATCTGCACGTGCTTGCTGCAACTCCAACTTCACAGATTCAGATGCTTGAAGTTCAGCTTCCATCTTTCCAATTTTTTCCACAAGGCCCCTCATTTGCTGATCTTTTCTGGACTTTATGGCTCCTATCTCACCATGAAACATCTGCAGCTCATGTTGTGCGGTGGCAAGTTCTTGTCTCAATGTCCCATGGGTAGAAGCAAGTCTCTGATTCTCGGTTGCAAGTTTCTGCATCTCCATATGTTGCGCAGCAAGCTTCTGTTCCATAACCTCTGGAGGAGGCAACATGTCAAAAGGAGGATATGCTCCAGGTGGGGGCCGAATTCCAGGACCAAATGGGTCAGGATGCACCATGCCAGGGCCAGCAACAGGGCGTCTTAGATGAGGAGGTGGCATTCGACCTTTGCTTCCCATTTTCAAATTGCTAATTTCCACCTGAGATTAACGAGTATAATTAGTAAAATTGTGGAGCAGATATGTTACTTCAATTGGACAACAACACATCAAAATAGATCTCGAGCAATGTGAGGAGTACTCATGGATTGCAAGACAAGTATATATCAAAACAACGGAAGAAAATCAAGGACAATATAACCATTAAGGTCCGTCTTGATCTAAAACATATAAAACAATGCATGTACACTATATTTGTAACCAGTCTAGCTTATTTTTTCCATTGTGCGATGGTTCATGAGGATAGTCAAGATTGAACGATTAGTCCTTCTGTGTGTCAATTTTTTACATTATTGGAAGGGGAAGCTTTAACGCTTTCCCATGACTGATACTCGTGTCCAATTTAACAATATCTGTTTCTTTTTCAATAACACTATTTGTACTCCGAGAAATATACGAGGCATTCCAGTTCTCATAAGATATGGATTCAAGAAGTGTGGTGCCTCAAGCTTTTTGCAGATTTTTAATGTAATCTCCCTTCCTTCGTTTCTTTCTTCCTTTTCCTTTTCCGATTGTGAGCTTACTTTTGGCATGTTTTTGCTTAGTGTGGATGCTTTATTTCTAGCTTATTATGCCTTCCCACTCATTAGTAGATCAAAATCTCCATAGATAAAAAATACATCTTCCTATGCATGGCTAATTCCTAGCTTCTCCTCTTTTTCTCTGGCTTCGTGGCAATTAATGTAATGTTGCCTTCTCTTTGGCCAATTTCCTTGAGAACGATGAGGAATCCTACTGGTTGTGATAATGAATGAGTAATGTTAGCTTGTAGCAGCTACAAAGATATCTAATCAGATCTATCTATCTAACTATACGTACATACATATATATATATATATATAAACCAAAAATCCAGCTATTGCCAGAAGTTGACTAGTGACTTGTCTTCAGGAAGCTATGTTATTGTATTATACTATGCTATCATTTAATTTTGTTTCATAATCTGTTGATATCACGCATGAAAATTTCAGGTTCGCATGTGAAAAAGTATTATACAGTAGGGCTAGTTCAGTTGTTTTGGGTACAGATGTTACATTACTGCTGCTAGATGTGTATCAACAACCATATACAAACTCTATTTCTATCGAGTATTTAATAAAATAATGCTCATTTAACACCATTTCAATCATCAAATATATTTCTATGAGGATTACCAAGCCACAACTGCTCACATCTGTCTTTTGTCATTGTTCTTACAATCAATCCACTTGTTGCTCAAGAAAAATTGATCTAATTATACAAATACATTATCAAAGGATAAGGCGAAGATGCTCCAAAATATGGAAGTATGTATGCACCCCTACAAATATATATGTGTGTATGTGTGTGTGTGTGTGTGTGTGTAATTTCAAAAAAGTAAAAACACATAACTCAAGATGATAGAGGGACGTACGAGGCCGATGAGATAATGACTGAACATCGATTACAAATTGCGTTATAATTTTTAGCTACGAAATGAATGCGATCCGCATAGAAAAGCCAAAATTGCTACATGAATATCCATATAAATATATATATGTATCTAGGGTTTCAATGATTCGAAGAATTTGGAGGAGGTAGAGAGAAGGTTTACCTGATCGGAGGTTTACTATGCAAATCGGAGGCGAGTCGGCGAGTAAAACCAGCCCCCAACCCCAAGTTTCCTCCTGACGACGCAGTACTTCTATATAAACCCTAATAATCGTGCGAGTGTGAAGGAGCAACACTGCGAATCAGTACTTCAGATAGGATTACCTGTCAACGGATCGGATCCGATTAGGAAATATTACAATCCGATTGGAATCCAACGGGTTACCCATAAACAAATATCCAATATTCTATTTACCAGAAATTTATCTTATCCAATTAAAAATTAATCGATCCGAGCACTGTTGGGCTCGGCTTCTATGAGCTAGTATACTGTATCCGTTAATGAATTGCAAGCTCATTATAGTTTATAGGGCTCGTTTATATTTATTTTTATTTTTATTTTTTACTAAAATTCTTTATTTTTTAAAATATAAAATAAAAATATGTTGAAAGTTATTGATTTGCAGGTTGGACTATTATGCATTTGAAAATTTTCTTTCATCAAATCAACATTCGTCTTGGTAAATAATTCCTCTCTTTATATGTACAAAATACATATATATACTCTATGTTGTACATTATATATTATAATAATATATTTAAATCAAATTGGATCGTTATTGAATCAGATTAACTTTATTTCATATCTGATTTCTTAGTTTAACGGCATGACAAATTCAGATTGTTATCAGATACATTCTTAGAATTCAAATTTTAATCCATATTCAATTTATTGAATCAAGATGAAATCAGATCAGTTGATAGAGATAATTAGGAGGCGCATATGACATGATAAACTCAATACATGATGTTGTTTTCATTATGGAATTAAAAAAAAAACTTCAAATATATATATATAAATATATTTATGTAAATATAAATATTTATAAGGCTAGGCAAACAAATATTTATAGGGTTATATATATTTATAAGGTTAGGCAAACAAATACTGCATGATTTGAATGGTGCGTCTCAAAGGCCAAAAAAAATATATATGGGCCCGTTTGGCATGCGCTTTATTTTTGGCGTTTTGTTTTTAGCTAAAACAGAAACAGTGTTTTTGTTGTAGGAGTGTTTTGGAAAAAATTCGGAAGCTCGTTTGGGGACGATGTTTTGCTGTGAAAATGTCGAAAACAAAAACATGCAAAACATGTTTGGTAACTCATGCGTTTCAAAATTTTTGAAAATAAAACATGTCTGGTCAGTCTAACTGTTGTCAAAAATAATAATAAAACAAAAACAAAAAAAACATATTTGGTTATCCTTGTTTTTAATTTGTTTTTATAAATTTTATGTATATTTATAAATAGTTATCATATTTTTAATAGATATGGAGAAATTTGAACCCACAAACATATATATATATATATATATATATATATATATATATATATATATATAAATTTTTTCAATAACCTATTTACAAGTTATTTGCAATAACCCATTTCAATTTTATTATCATTATACCTGTATAGTCCAACACAACATTAAAAATAAAAATATTTCTAGTCACATTTTACTATACTACATGAGAGTCAACATTTGTAAAAAAAATTAGCAATAACATATTCACAAGTTCTTTGCAATAACCTACTTCAATTTTATTATCCTGTTACCTGTATAATCCAACACAACATTAAAATAAAAACAAACCAAATTGAAAGCATAATTGAAATAGAGTGTATACCATTTACAAGTTTTTAAATATTCAACCAACAAATTAAACAAGTTTAAGTTGTACATAAAATGTTTGGAACAAAGCATTAACAATACATAGTTGTCAGTAAAAATTGATAAGAAGTTCATAAAATGGATGACAATGGTAACGACACATCATCTTCATAACAGCACATGTGCCCTTTAAAAGAGTATCAACACACTTCATATCTGCAATAATAGCATTTAAGTTGAATTATATATCTGCAAAAATGATTTATATTACATATATATATTACAAGCTTACAATAGCAACAAATATATGACATATAAAAGAAAAAATATACCATCACTTTCAGAAGGATCAAGAGTGCTAAAGAAAATTCCAAATTCGATCAGCAATAGTATTACGCAACTGATCCATTTCTCAAAGCTGAGCCGAAGGCACATGCTCAACAATCTCATCATCTTCACCATCACTTTGAGGAGGATCGTTACCATCAAATAAATCATCAGGCTGATGCTGATTTCTGATAAAATTGTGTAATGTGCAACAAGCCATTACAATCAATACTTGTGTTAAAAACTTATAAGGATGCATTGTCCTCAAAATAGCGAATCTCATCTTCAACAACCCAAAGCATCACTTAATTATATTTCTCAAAGATGAATGCCTATGATTGAACACTTCCTCCCGACCACGAGGTTGTCTAGTCCTACGGTATTCCTGAAAATGGTAAGTATGACCTCGAAATGGGGCCAAATAACTAGGCTTGTTGGCATATCCTGAGTCCACCAAATAATACTTACCTGCCATGTTTAGAATACATAAAGATATATACAGTATGATAAACTAACCATATATTAAGTGAATTTGTGAGATAATATTACCTGCTGGTGGAGCTGGAAAGTTCATTGCCTCATTCTCAATACACTCCTTTCTCGAATCATTAGCGGAGCCTTCCCACCCAGCTAGCACATATGTGAACCTCATGTCAAAGTCACATACAGCCATTACATTTTGTGTGGTATAACATTTTCTGCCACGAAATGGAAGTTGTATACTTGCTGGCAAAGTTGCAGGAATGTGGGTTCCATCTATAGCTCCCATGCAATTCTTGAAGTAAGGGAAAAACCTAGAAGACTCTCTAATCTTATTCAGAATCACAAAAAAAATCAGGAGGGGCAATGATATGGGTGCCCAACTGACATACTGCATGTAACACAGCATGGAAGTGTCTGGAAATGGTTTCAGTGGAGTGTTGAAATCTCTCAGCTACAACACGATTCCTTTGATTATGAGATAAAGTGAGCAAAAAGATTGCCACTTGTTCATAAACAGTTAAAAATTTAGAATCTTTCAGCCCTATACCTTTCAGGGTACCACACAATGTTCTAAAAACTTCATGGTACATCATAAAATTTTCATAACATCTTTCTCTGTGGCCGTTTAAAATCTCCATAACATACGTTTCCCCTCGTAAAATGGAATCCCTACAACGCCTCTTTTGATAGAAGTTCTGCTCTTCTAAAAGAGTAGCAAATATTAAGACACTCTCATTGTCCTCCTCATCGTCATAAAATTGAATTATTCCTCTTATATGGTTCCACATATCCATTGCCCTATTTAAAGATTTAATAGAAGCAAAACATTTAAGTTAATAAGCAAAACAATTAAATAATAAATAAAACATTTAAATAATAAACAAAGTATTTGAGTTAATAAGCTTAACATTTAAGTAATAAATAAAATATTTAAGTTAATAAGCAAAACATTTAACTTAATAAGAAAAACATTTAAATAATGGCAGTACAGTCATCCAAGAAATAAAAGTATTTAGTTATTACAGTCATCCAAATGTGAGATAGTAAGAAGTTGAACAAACAACAAAACACAATAATCCATAAAGAAAGACTCAAACATTCAGTGCCCAACCAATTCTTATCTCCTTAGGAGAACTGAGAAAAAAATTTTGCCACTTCTCAGAATCATGTAACAACTTCGATACCTTAGCGAATTGGGCCATCTCAATTCCAGGTATTTTTTGTAAAAGGAGCATGCAGGCTTCAAACATTTCATCATCTTTATCCTTTTTAGAGGGAAAGAGAACTTCATCATCTCCTTTCTCACATAAAGATAAACGAGTAGAAGTAGGAGATGTTTTAATTACTTTCTCTATTGCAGCTTCCATTCTCTCAGTTCTTCTCGCAGAATTCTCATCCGTGCCTGACAAGAGTGCAGCCATACTGGGAGATAAACTATCTCTTTTGGCTTTCTTACCTTTACGTAAAGGTGGAGGACTGATGTGATAACCCTCTTCCTCATCATCGTCATCATTGGGAGTGGGCAAAATGATTGCGGGGGGTACTGTAGTGGAGGGGTGGGCATGCATTCCTGTTGTATATGTGTCCCCAAATATAGTCGACATCTTGTCAAAACGCTTATATTCATGTCTACGAAACTTATTTGCACCCTTCATAACCTACAAATTTTGTTACAATATTAACCTCATAACAAATAATATACGATATTTTATTATTTATTTAGAACTAATAATTAAATTACTAACCTTGCTTAACCTGCCCCATCTATCTTCCTCAACTATAACCATGCCCGTCTCATGGTTATATCCCACGCCAGTCCCCGATAACAATTTCTTAAACTCGATATAAATTGTCCTCAATTGGTTAAACTTATTCCGAAGTTGGGTTTTGTCAAATTTTATCCCTGTGTGAACCTTCATTTCTTTTACCATAGTAGTCCAACCTTTTGGATTAAATGTTGTGTCAGTACGATTGTCAACCCTAACTTGTTCCTCCATAATATTACAGAATTTTTCAGTAAGTAAGTCATCCCATAACACTTTTCCATCTTTGGTAGCTTCAGCCACCCCTTCTTCTTCAATTGTCAGATATTCACCACATTGTTCCACATTCTCAACATTGATATCCATCTAACAGATTAATAACAACACTATAATTAATAACAACAAAAATAATATATATTACTTTAATAACTCATACTATTACTTCAATAACTCAAAGCCTTATAAGTTTAAGCATCTCATGAGTTAAAAGTAATTCAATTGGGGATGGAACTTGAGAAAAATAGAAGAGAAAAATAGATCTCTAGCAGCAATTCAAGCATCTCATGAGTTAAAAGTAAAACAATTGGGGATGGAACTTGAGAAAGAGTGTACCAAACTGGCTAATGTACAGCTAAAATTACAAGGTATTTCCTATTTTTTATGATCTAGTTGTGGACATATACATATTCTCATCTTGAGTTTCTGGTCTGATATTCTATTTTTGTTCCTAGAGGAACATAAGTTGAATGGATCTTTTTAGGAGAAGCTGAACTCACTAAAAGTGGATAATAATAAATTAAGTTCTTACTTGGTTTCTTATCTTCTCAGAGTGATGCTAGTTTGGCCTCTTAACAACTAATTAGTTAAAGTTAGCCTGAATTTTTCATTTTTATTCTGATATCCGGGGATAAAATATCAACAATGTAGTTATTTTATATTATGCGATTGTGATAGCATTATCTGACTTAAATACCAATAAGGGTACTATTGGGGTTCCATTATTTCAAGGTTTTAGAGGGACCAGATAAATGGTTTCATTGCCTAGTACTAAAATTAAAGATCTGCATGGAGTCGTGACCATGTCTCAATCCTCATTACCTATCAAAGGGGAAGGGGAAAAAAAAAAAAAAAAAAAAAAACAAACAAACTAATGGACCTAATTTGGGAAGAAGCCAGATAACTATGAGAAGGATCTGAAACTTTTATTTTTAGAGCTTTCCATATTTCAAAAACTTAATAATTAAACCCAACGCAAAGTTGTTTAAATAGGGTTAACTCAATACTTTGACTCCGCCCTAAAAGAACTTGAATCGTCATAATGGATCCCATGTGTTAAGTATTTTATTAGTCAAAATGTGATAACAACTAGCTTTTGCTAAACTGGGACATGTGGTGTTAATATACTTTTTGTACTATGTACATAAATAAAATAGAAAGATGAAGAGTCAGAGCTTCGCTTTTCATAAGAATGAGAGAGAGGGGCCTGATCTTTTAATCATATCCATAAATCAGCATTGGGTTATTGATTGGTATAATGGTAAAATTTGAGCTGCGATACTAGAGAACTTAGATTCGCGTACAAAGGCAAAAGGGTTTACTCAAATTCAAATTCCTTCAGGAAAGAGTTTACAGATACGATCTGCATATTTGTAGTCTTAGATGGCATCACTAGCATAGTTTTGGGAATTTAGGGTGTGTGTAAAACATGAACTTCTCGCATTATATATCCGTCAATATGCATTTAAATAATAGCAGTATAGTTTGTTTTTTAAAAAAAATTTATAAATTTTAAATTATGGGCTTTTAAACATCCGTATTTATTTAAGTGTTTAGAGTTGGTCTTTGGCTGAGGGCATTGACAGTGAAATTAGCCTAAGTATTCTCCTTTTGTCTCTTTCTCTCTCTAAAATTATATTTCACCATCTACATTCCCCAATTTTGTCTCTAACTTGGAGGGACCCTCATGCTTTACTGAACTTAGATTTATTTCTTTGTGCAAAATATGCATCTTAAACTAAATGTGGAGACCAAATCAAGTCTTGCCAAGCAGATTTTGAAGCATTTCTGAGATGGGTCTTTGAGTTTATCTTTGATTAACTGAGGTATGTGGCTCTTCCCTTGTTAACTATCTATATTTGTCTTGTTTTCTCATTATCCGAGCTCTATTTATATTGTTTGTAGAAGACTAGAAGTGAACACCAACTGTCTGTGGATTAAGCAGATAGAGAAATAGAAAAGGGAAATCAAGTTCTTTTGGTGTCAGAATGAAGGATTTTCCTTCTTGTTTAAGTGAAAGTGGGGTTCAAGTTGTTGATTTCTCATCTAGTACCAGTAGAACTGCTCAGAATTTAGTTTCTTGTGTCTATCAATGTCGATTACGCAGCAGGTCACGCTTGATTACAGTGTCATGGAGTAAGAATCTGATGGGTCAAGGCTTTAGTGTGGGGATTGATGATAACACCAATCAATGCCTCTGTAAGGTTGATATAAAACCTTGGTTGTTCTCTAAGAAGAAAGGATCAAAAAGTTTAGAAGCAGATTCTAGTAAAATTGATATTTTTTGGGACCTTTCCTTGTCTAAATTCGGATCTGGGCTTGAGCCATTGGAGGGATTCTACCTGGGGATTGTATTCGAGCGACGAATGATTCTCCTTCTGGTTAGAGATTTTGATCATCGATTAAAGAACATACATAGGCAGATTTCAAAAACTCATAATACATACAGATATACATACAGATATATACGACCATACTTCCAACGTCAATCATATGATTAAGAGTCAAAAGCTTGGAAAAGATAAAACAAGAAAGAGAGACATGCACCTGGTTAGAGATCGTAGAACAGATCGGCTGAAAATAGTAGTGGAACCGTTGTCGCCAAGACTCGCCCAGAATTGCCGACCAAACGAGCAAACGCAAACCCTGGGATTATTGCAACTTTTTTGTTTTATACGTCAAACAATTGTTGCATCCGCTACAGTTAAATGATGGTTTTTTACTTCTCCCGCTACAGTAATTGTTACCCCAAATAGGCCCAAAACAATAAAAAACACCAATTTGGTGTTTCATATTTTGGGCCCAAATTTTAAAATGTTTTACAACTGTTTGAAACACAACAAGCCCAACCAAACATGTTTTGGGCTTGAAAGAGGTTACTGTAGCAAGCCTAAAACAAAACAAAACACTTGTCGAACATGTCCTATAACTATATCTATATCTATATCTATACTATTATTAAATGTGCAAAGTGTTTCAGTATTTATTTATTTATTAATTAGAGTGAAGTGCAGAAAATGCCCCTGAAGTATGCTTACAGTGCATATCACACCCCTCACGTGCAAAAAACACCCCTCAAGTTTCAATTTGGTGCAATTAAGTTCCCATGACACATTTAAAATCTAAATTGACCAAATTACCCTTATTAAATAATTTTATAAAATATATAAAAATAAATTTTTTTGTAAAAAGACCAAAAAGTACAATGCTTTACCCTTCTCATCTCTTCAGCAGGGATATGGATCCTCTCCATAATCATCTCTCTCCTGCTTTGTCCAAATCTAAATCTAGGTGCTTTTTCCAAATCTAAATCAAATGATTAATATTAAGACATGTCTTCATTTACCTAAACTACACCATTTTTGGAACCAAACGGACCAAACAAACATTTGTACTTCTTTTCTCTCTCCTCCTCCTCTTACTTTCTCTCTTTACACTCTGAAACTTTTCTTGCTGATAAACCACACTAGGAGGCAAATGGTTGAGCAAAGAGGTTCAAATGGAGTTCTATGGATTAGAATTAATAAACCCAAAATTGGGACCTTTACAATTTGGTGGAGTTGATGTGAACCAATTATTCTGTTGTCATTGTCATTTGAAGAAATTTCTGAACAACTGTTTTGAGGCTGAACAAGGAAATCCACCGGAGAAGAGACTGGTCTTGGCCTGATTCAGACAACAAACTCTCTCAATCTTCCAATCCAGACACCTCCAACCCATAAGGAATTAGTAGGAGATCCACCCCCAATTCGTCATTCAGATTACCAGATGAGAGGCACTTCGTCACAGACCCCGGACCAGTTTCCCGGACCAGTTTCCGGCGACATCGAAACTGGCCATATTTGCTGGGGGTTGTTATCATAAACCACCGCCACACTCGCTGTGTACTTTGTAGAACCAGACCCACAACCGTCACAGGCTCTTTCGCGGCCAAACGACGAAGAAAACGTCGACGTCGAAGTTGACGGGCTTGGTTTTCCGAGGTAGACAACAGCGGCGTTCGTTGGTGGGGTGTAGAGCGAGTGTGTAGAGAGAAAAAGTATGAGGAGGATGAGAAGAGAGAAAAGAAGCACAAACGTCCGTTTGGTCCCAAAATGATATAGTACGGATAAGTGAACTGCTTATGACGAGGATGATTGCTAATTGGTTATGGTAGACCTCATTATTGCATTGAAGTGGATGATTGCATTGAAGAAGATGATTGTAGGGGCATTTTGGGAAGAATAAAAAGGTAAAATAAGTATTACAGTAATAATTTATGTCAGATTTCTAACGGAGGGGTAATTTTGCACAATTTCAAAAGATTAGGGGTGTTTATTGCACACTTTTTCAAATAGGAGGTAAAAGTGCTACGAAAAGTATACTTCAGAAGTGTTTTATGCACTTTCCTCTATTAATTAATATAAAAATAGTTTATACAAAATACTAAAAAAATTTTATAGATAATTATCACAATATAACCGGTCCGACCCAGTTATGATTATGTCATTATCAAGATAGGACACATGTCATCATCCCATTAATCCAAGAAACCTATAAATAAAGACATGGAAGAAGGAGTAAGGGGTATATAAATTGAGAATTCTGAAATCCAAAATTACAGAGTAAAATACAGAAGTTATGCTAAAGAGTTTCAGTATTTATTTATTTATATAAAAATATTTATTAATTGATATAAAAAGAGTTTTTATCTATATCTATACAATTATTAACACTGAAATGAGTTTCAGTGTTTCAGTATTTATTTATTTATATTAATTGATAAAGAGTTTTTATCTATATCTTTTAGTATTTCAGCATTTATTTATTTTTATAAAAAATATTTATTAATTGATATGAAAAAAGTTTTTATACAAAAAAATACTTTATAAAACTCTAAAATATACCTAATAAATTTCTACTTATCTAATTATTATTATGAATTTTTCAAAAAAATAAAATCTAATTAGACAAGAATTATTAATATATAAAATATTTATTAATTGATATATAAAATAAAATAAAATAATTTTTCTAACACTCTACCACAAATTAGATTTTATTATAAGTTTCTTAATAAAATAAAATCTAATTAGACAAGGATATATTTAAAGAAAATATAATAATTTCTATAAAACACTATCACAAATTACCTATTTTATTTTCAATAAAACTCTATCACACTCCACAAAGATATATTTAAAGAGCTTCTATAAAACTCTAACACAAATTACCTATTAATCTATTTATTATGAGTTTTTTAATAAAACGAAATCTAATTAGACAAGTACTATTAATACAAAAAATTATTTATTAATTGATATAAAAGAGGTTTTAAAAGAACTTCTATAAAACTCTAACACAAATTACCTATTTATCTACTTATTATGAGTTTTTTAATAAAAAGAAATCTAATTAGACAAGTACTATTAATATAAAAAATTTATTTATTAATTGATATAAAAAAGAGGTTTTAAAAGAGTTTTTATAAAACTCTAACACAAATTATCTATTTATCTATTTATTATGAGTTTTTTAATATAAAAAAATCTAATTAGACAAGAATTATTAATATAAAAAATATTTATTAATTGATATAAAAAGGGTTTTGAAAAAGTTTATATGAAACTCTAACACAAATTACCTATTTATTTATTTAATATGATTTTTTTAATAATAAAAAAAATCTAATTAGACAAGAACTATTAATATAAAAAATAGTTTTTAATTGATATAAAAAATAAAATAATTTTTTTTTTAAAACTCTACCATAAATTATCTTTTATTAAGAGTTTTTTTTAATAAAAAGGAAATCGAATTAGAAAATAATTATTAATCTTTTAAAATATTTATTAATTCATATAAAAAGAGTTTAAATCTAATTAGACAAAAATTATTAATACAAAAAATGTTTATTAATTGACATAAAAAGAGTTGCTAAAAGAGTTACTATAACACAAATTACCTATTTATTTATTTATTTATTATGAGTTATTTAATAAAACAAAATCTAATTAGACAAGAACTATTTATGTAAAAAATATTCATTAATTGATTTATAAAATAAAATAAAATAAAATAATTTTTCTAAAACTCTATCACAAAATTAACTTTTATTATGAGTTTCCTAATTAAATGAAATTTAATGAGGCAAGGATTTATTTAAAGAAAATAAAATAATTTCTATAAAATACTATCACAAATTACCTATTTTATTTTTAATAAAACTCTATCACACTAGACAAAGATATATTTAAAGAATTTTTATAAAACTTTAACACAAATTACCTATCAATCTATTTATTAGAAGTTTTTTAATAAAATGAAATCTAATTAAACAAGTACTATTAATATATAAGATTATTTATTAATTGATATGAAACGAGGTTTTAAAAAAGTTTCTATAAAACTCTAACACAAATGACCTATTTATCTATTTATATTGAGTTTTTTAATAAAATGAAATCTAATTAGACAATAATTATTAATATAAAAAATATTTTTTAATTGATCTAAAAAGAGTTTTTATTAAACTCTAACACAAATTACCTATTTATTTATTTAATATGAGTTTTATAATTAAAGAAAATCAAATTAGACAAGAACTATTAATATAATAAAATATTTTTAATTGATATAAAAAAGTAATAATTTTTCTTAAAACTCAACCACAAATTACGTTTTATTATAAGTTTTTTTTATAATAAAAGTTAATCTAATTAGAAAATAATTATTAATACATTAAAATATTTATCAATTTATATAAAAAGAGTGTAAATCTAATTAGACAAAAAATATTAATATAAAAAATATTTATTAATTGATATAAAAAGGTATTTTAAAAGAGTTTATATTAAACTCTAACACAAATTACCTATTTATTTATTTATTATGAGTTTTTTAATAAAAGAAAATCTAATTAGACAATAACTACTAATATAAAAAGTATTTTTAAATTGATATATAAAATAAAATAAAATAATTTTTCTAAAATTCTACCACAAATTATCTTTTATTATGAGTTTCTTAGTAAAATGAAATCTAATCAGATAATAATATATTTAAAGAAAATAAAATAATTTTTATAAAACACTATCACAAATTACTTATTTTATTTTCAGTAAAATTTTATCACACTAAATAAAGATATATTTAAAGAGTTTCAATAAAACTTTAACACAAATTAGCTATTAATTTATTTATTATGGGTTTTTCAATAAAATAAAATCTAATTTGACAAGTACTATTAATATAAAAAATTATTTATTAATTGATATAAAAAGAGGTTTTAAAAGAGTTTCTATAAAACTGTAACACAAATTATCTATTTATCTATTTATTATGAGTTCTTTAATAACAGAAAATCTAATTAGATAAGAATTATTAGTATAAAAAATATTTTTTAATTGATATAAAAAGAGTTTTTAAAAGTGTTTCTATTAAACTCTAACACAAATTACTAGTATATAAAAAATATTTTTTAATTAATATAAACAATAATAATTATTCTAATATTCTACCACAAATTACCTTTTATTATGAGTTTTTTAAATAAAAGGTAATCTAATTGGACAAATTATTATTATATTTTAATATTTATTAATTCATAGAAAAAGAGTTTTTTAAATATTTTCTATAAAACTCTAACACATATCACCTATTTATCTATTTATTATGTGTTTTTTTAATATAAAAAATACAATTAAACAAATAATATATTTAAAGAAAATAAAAAATTTCTAAAAAAATGTACCACAAATTAACTATTTTATTTTCTATAAAATTCTATCACATTATCTATTTATTAGGAGTTTTTTAATAAAATAAAATCTAATTAGACAAAAATATATTTAAACAAAATAAAATAATTTTTATAAACTCTACCACAAATTAGCTATTTTGTTTTCTATAAAACTCTATCACATATAACATGTATTTATCTATTTATTGTGAGTTCTTTAATAAAAGAGAATCTAATTAGACAAAGATATATTTAAAAAAAATAAAGTAATTTTTTTTAAAAGTTTATATAAAACTTTAACATAAATTACCTATTTATTTATTTATTATCAGTTTTCTAATAAAAGAAAATCTAATTAGACAATGATATATATATTTAAAAAATTAAATAATTTATCAATAAAAGTCTATCACATTAGACAAGTATATATTTAAAGAGTTTCTATAAATCTCTGCCACAAATTACCGAAACTTTATCACAAATTAACTAGGTTTTTTTAAAAATAGTTTATATAAAATTCTAAGAATTACCTAATAAAATCAATCACAATAAAATATTTATTAATTGATATAAAAAATAATTATTTTTTATAGGTAATTATCACAATATAATCGGCCCGGCCCAATTATGATTTTGTCATTATCAGGAGAAGACACATGTCATCATCCTATTAATCCAATAAGCCTATAAATAAAGGCATAGAGGAAGTAGGAAGGGTACAAAAATTGAGAAATCTAGAATTTCAGAGAGAAATTCAAAGTTTCAGTATTTATTTATTTATATAAAAAAATATTTATTAATTGATATAAAAAGAGTTTTTATCTATACTATTATCAAATGTACAAAGAGTTTCAGTATTTATTTATTAAATATGCCAAGAGTTTCAGTATACAGTTTATCACGTTATCCTATAAAACTCTATCACATATAACTTGTAGTCCTCTATTTATTATGAATATTTTTACAGAAAATAAAATAATTTCTATAAAACTCTACCCCAAATTATCTACTTTATTAATTTCAAAATTTTTATATATTTATGTATTTATCAATTTCAAAATATTTCAGTATTTATTTATTAGTATAAATTTTTTTTTTAATTAATATAAAAAGAGTTACAATTTTTTGTAAGATTTATTGTTACAAGCTTAAAAAATATATATGAAAATAAAAATTCTATAAGTTATCAAGTATTCACCACGTGCAACGCATGTATCTTTTCCTAATGTGTATATATAATATGAGTTTAGGCAAACAAATCATTCGCACAATCTTATTATACTAGCTGACCCAGTGATCTACTATTTGACTTCAAATTAACGTTATTTATGTTTTTATTTTACTGAACAACGTCTACCATTTCTCTTTGTGAGAAAATTTGCACTCCGTTTGATCCAAAAGTTTAGGTGCAGTGACAATAAAACTATGTTAACTACAAACTTAGAAGATATAGTATAACTTAATCATTTATATTGTTTGACAGATCCTATTAAGGATATTCAAAATAAAATAAAATAAAATAAAAAATAACATTTTTTAAAATATATTTGGCTTAAGTCATTCAAGAGAACATGGTAATCTTTAAAAAAAAAAATTTGGGCTCATTGAATCCACTTCAATCTCCTCTCAGTGAAGGAACATTTTAAAACATTCCTGGACATTGAATCTTATAACTTGATATATGACCAACCACGGCTCTCTTGGAGCAGCCTTCAAATTAGTGACATCCAGTAACATTCAAGGACATGAGGTGAAATTAGAAGCATGGACAGCCTCAAATTTTCACTCCCCTAATTTTGCGTTTTGGGAGCCCGAATCAGTATTTCGGATTTGAGATTGAAGGAAATTCAATTCGAAGTTTTAACTAAATTTCTTTCTATTCCAGATTCAAGGCACTGATGTGATACTCCCAAACATAACATTAAGAGCGTGTTAAGCTTAATGGAAATGGAGAATTGGAATTGGAATTGGAATCGGAATCGGAATCGGTGGAATTGGAGAAAATTTTGATTCAACTTTTTTTGTTGTTTTTATCAAATTCCACAAATTTCAATTCCATGCAACCGAACACACATAAGAGTAAATCCCATCACCACCAGTAAATACACAAATGACCTTTCTAACAAGGCAAAAACTCAGAAAATGCAAGCTCAATAAACCAGAAGAGAGTTCTCTAAAAACTATAATACTAGCTCATGAGAATCTCAACAAACACAATCACAAATTTCTGATTACCAAAGGAAAAATTAGAAGAATGCCTCGCTGATTGCATGAAACATTTTTTTTTTTTCACAAAGATACATTGAATCTACCCTAAAACAGAAGTCAAATTTTCATGTGCTTCTTGCATCAACTCATTATATTCCACAAAACATTTCACATATTGCAGACTTCGAAATTTCCGGTGCTAAATGGCGACCTAATTCAAAATTTAAGATCATGTTTACATGCACAACTCAATGAAACCAACTTCAACCCATAATAACAGATTCTTTATTTTTCGTGAAGTACTAATTCTATTCGATAGAGCAAGATTTTTCAGAATGTTTTCAACCCCTTCCCCTTTCCTCCTATGTTGCAAAAGGTACTGATACAGTGACACCGATGATTATTGGAGCATCTATCTCCTCTCCCCTACTAATTATTAGAAAGGAATTGTGAGAAGGCTCCTATCCCTCAAGGTAGGAAAGTGAGATGGAGGCTGTCGAGAGAGAATAATGAACCTACCTCCTTTCCTTGGTTACAGTAGATCAATAAAAACATATTTGAACATTTTACTAGTGATTAGAAGAATACATTAAACCTTATAAAGCAGAAGTATTGACTTTTTCTAAAGAACCTGCACCTTGCTCAATCGGCTTCACCTTAGGGCACCAGCTGAGGAATATTGGCCAGTGATGCTTGTAAGTTCTCCTCTGCAAATGACAAGTCAACCATATTTCCTTGCAAATACTTCTCATAAGCTGGCAGGTCAAAATGTCCGTGTCCGCACATTGCCATGAGAATAACCTTTGATTCTCCAGTCTCTCTACAATGCAGAGCTTCCCTGATGGTGGCAGCTATGGCATGAGTCGGTTCTGGTGCTGGTATCAACCCTTCAGACCTAGCAAATTGAATGGCACCTGCAACAATGAAAAGTTAAAAAATTAGCATGTTTCAGTCATACAATACATTTCAAGAACAGATGAAATTCTGCAACTAGAAGTTGTTTTCAATGCAAAAATTGAACTTGAAATATGCTGCCACTAATGATTGTTACCAAATTCAGGCTCAGAGAGAGAAAAATACCTTGGAAGCATTCAGTCTGAGGAATAGAAAGTGCTTCCATGAAACCCAATTCATAGACATGTGAAATCAATGGTGCCATACCATGGTAACGCAAACCTCCTGTAAAATAAAGGCGCACCCTTATATATAAACAAATATAAGGAGGTCAAAAATAGTTTTCTCTCATTATACCAGCATAATATTACCAGCATGAATAGGATCTGGTATGAAGTCATGACCAAGTGTATGCATCTTCATTAGTGGAGTCAACCCTGCTGTATCACCAAAATCATATGCATAGACACCTTTTGTTAAGGAAGGGCACGCAGTAGGTTCAACCGCTCTTATGAGAGGGTTAATTTTTCCACTGAGCTTCTCTCGAATAAACGGAAAACTAAGCCCTGCAAAATTTGACCCACCACCTGTGCACCCGATAATCACATCTGGGGTCTCGCCTAAAACCTTCATCTGCTTTAAACACTCCTCTCCTATAACAGTCTGATGCAGCAGAACATGGTTGAGAACACTCCCCAGACAGTACTTGGTATCAGCATTTGTAGCTGCAACCTCCACTGCCTCTGAAATAGCAATTCCTAAACTACCCGGGCTTGATGGATCCATTTGAAGGATTCTCCGACCAGCTTCAGTAATATCAGAAGGAGAAGGGTGCACTTTGGCACCCCAAGTTTGCATCATCAGTTTACGATACGGCTTCTGATCATAAGATGCACGAACTTGCCAAACCTATACATAAAACCAAAATTAGAGGTCAGGGCAATCAGTTGCATGGTATTCAATTCAAATAGGAGTTGAATAAAAAACCACTCTTGGACAATACCCATATCTATCAATGTTATTAAAATGATATGATATTACCAATAGTGTCAGCAAGCGGAACCAATTTGCACTGATACCTGTTTTTATTCTTCTGCTATGTCTTTTACATATTACACATTTAATATGTGGTGCATTTACACTATTTAAGTTGTACAAATTTGTATTATTACCATATCACAAATTTGTAGTGTGTCACATGAAATCGTCCAAATCAAATCAGATCAGTCCAGTTAAGCTGACCCATTCACTGAATGAATTTGGGTAAATAGCAATAATTATCAAACATTTCTTACTTCACAGTTAAGACCGAATAAGCTGCACGCAAAGGCCAGTGAACTCCCCCATTGGCCAGCACCGGTCTCAGTCACAACATTCTTGACTCCTTCCTGTGCATTGTACCAGACTTGTGGGACTGCAGTGTTGGGTTTGTGTGAACCAGCCGGGCTTACACCTTCGTACTTGTAATAAATCCTGGCAGGTGTATCAAGCAACTTCTCCAACCTCTTGGCTCTAAAATTAAACAGAAAAATTATAAGATTATTCTTACTATGGTATTATAAATTACAATCCAAAAAGAAGAAGAGAAAATACTAAACATGAGCAAATTAAACCTGATTAGAGGGGTTGGACGCCAAAGCTTGTAAATATCACGAACCTCTTCTGGGATATCAATGAATCGTTCGTTGCTTGCCTCCTGCTTAATTAACTCGTCAGGGAAGAGAGGAGACAAATCCTCAGGTTTGACTGGTTCAAAAGTCTTAGGATGCAACTGCGGAGGAGGTTTTACAGGAAGATCTGCAATTAGGTTGTACCACTGATGAGGGATTTCAATCGAATTAAAATTAGCACTATAGGCTGCTCTTGCTCCCTTAAAGCTGGATTGAAGCTTCAAATGCATTGGCTTTATCTTTGGAGCAGAATGCCCAAGCCATTGCTCCTTGCCTAAAGATGCAAAACACAGTTCTCAGGTCTAAAACCAATGCACTAAATTTACAACAGATGAGGACTGCCAATATTAAGCTACACAATAAAACATGCAAAGATTGTGCGATTTAAACCTGATTTGATGTGTCTCTTACAAGTTGATGAACTGAGAGCCTCGTGGGAAATAATGAAAAATATCTTTTCAAAAACTTCATTAGGTTGCTATAGAAATCAATTGAAAATGTAACACTAAATTATCCATGCAGCTGCAATATATATTTAGTTGCCTTTTCTCCATGTGATTAATCAATAATATGCTAATTTAGTACCTTCAAGGTTGCTCTAACAACTGCATTGCAATTATCAAATATCAGCTTTAATTTTATTTCCACAATTTTAAGTGAAGAATGGAAACTAAAATTCAGATCTCCAATTACCTTGCAGACTACCGTTGATTTGCAAAATTAGACTTGCAAATAAACAAGAAAAAGGAAGATAAATGCTAAATAAAAAGCAATAGAAAGGAAAAGGTTGAAGCACTTGTCTTCCATGTGATTTAAATTGCGAAAATATATATTTAGTTGCCTTTTCACCATGTGATTAATCAATAATATGCTAATTTAGTACCTTCAAGGTTGCTCTAACAACTGCATTGCAATTATCAAATATCATCTTTAATTTTATTTCCACAATTTTAAGTGAAGAATGGAAACTAAAATTCAGATCTCCAATTACCTTGCAGACTACCATTGATTTGCAAAATTAGACTTGCAAATAAAAAGGAAGATAAATGCTAAATAAAAAGCAATAGAAAGGAAAATGTTGAAGCACTTGTCATCCCTTTCCCTAATTTTTCTCCCGAACTCAAACGAAGCCTTAAATTTCATAACATGTCGTAATCTTTCACTCTCTTTCCAAACAATGGAAAGGTACTTAAATAATCCTTAATCACATCAATGTCCAAAGACTAATAATGTTATCCTAACTACCAACCAATCTTTTATGATCCCTGGTTTTTTTCATAAACTCATTCTCATTACAAGATTTTGGGAGCACCAAATAGGCGTCTTAGATTTGGGATTGGAGGGAGTTTAGTTCAAAGTTTGTACTAAATTTTCCCGAATTTCAAATCCAAAGCACCGATTCAGTTCTCCCAAACCAACATGAATTGTTTCCTTGAAATGTGTCTTTGATACCAAGTTTGAAGTCGTTAATATATTCGGAAATCAAAGACTGAAAATTACCTCTGATGTAAATGTTTGTGCTTATATCAGTCGACAGAAAAAGAGACTGTGCCATTGCTTTGCATATGGTTTGTACCAATCTGTAATCTGTAGAAGGTTGTGGTGACTGGAGAGTGCCACAGCTGATTTAGGGTTCCATAGCCCTACGACGCGGAGGCTTTGGGATTCACAGTTTTTTAAACTGGCTGTAATGGTCCAATACTTGAATATATATATATATTTTACCTTAAAAATATATATATTTTCTAATTAAAGTGCTGTGTGCACAACACTCCGTATAATAAAGTCTTGGAAACATTTAATGTACAGTGCAGAGGTCAGCAATGGCTGCTCACCGAAGGTCAAATTCAAATATATATATATATATATTTTTGGTATTTAACAAAAGTCCAGGTTAAAATTGAGGTTGACTTCATTAGGCGGGTATGTAAAATAACTTACTAAAAATTGATGAATAAATATTTTAATATATATTTTTTTCGTAAATATTTTAAAACAATCAAACACCAAAAAATAAAAAAAATATTAAAAATATTTTTACATCCAAACAAACAGACCCTAAATCAAAGATACAATGTCACCGAATAACATTAAATTAAGAATGTGACAACAATTTATAAATATTACATTTTCAATTTAATAGTGTTTTAATGTTACAAAAAATGATTCTTTGATAGGTGATTATATTGCACAAATATTACATTTTCAAAAGATTATATGGATGTTACACTCATTTAGAAAGAGAAAAGTATCTTGATTATTAACTTCAATAGGTTGGGTAAGGGGAGAATCAAATTAGGATCAATAAGGTGAATAGAATAATTTGATTGAAACGACACATTTTTCCAGTCATTGCAACTCATCTACACACATTTCCGTCCAATTAAGTTGGTAAATAGTTGTGACCACCGACTTCCATGCCCTGAATCATTTTTAGTTATAAGACTTGGTAAGAAAAAAATTTCTCAGTAAATCATTCAATTATCAATTGTGGGGACAAAAATCTCCCCTTCCAATTAAGACAAGACACATCAACACATAAGGGGACCACCACAAATACTGAGAATATTCAACCTTTAAATTGAGCCTCTACAAGAAGATTGGGCCGAGTTAACTAAGCATAATGGGCTAAACTCATTAAGAAGGCCCGAGATGATGAGACCTCGAACCCAATTACGAATATATTACTAAACCCATTTTAGTAATAGTTCTATTAGAAGAAGGATTATAATCTATGGAAACCAAATAATATAAATCCTTATTATAAGGATAGTATGATGTGATTCAGAATCTTAAGAGACAAACAATGCGAGTCCTAAAAGGAATCAATTAGGGTTTGTCCTATATAAAAAGGGCTTGTGACCCTCAAATAGAGGATAGACAGAAAAAAGGAAAAAGCTCCAAAAATAGAGATCCAATTCTCATCATCAAAACTACGTTCCGACCTGATTTCCACGCTCCATGAAGCGGGATATGCAAGAAATCTAAGTAATCCTAGGTTCGGTCATATCATCAAATACCCCTTCATCTCTATACAATTTCTCTAGTTCATTATTTTGGGTGTAGTAATTACAGAGATTTTGTTGACTTGTCAAAGTTGAACGAATTTCTGCACCTACACTTTGGCGCCGTCTATGGGAAACGTATAAAAAATATACCCCCACGAGTGATTAGTTATTTGACTCATATCACGTTACACCAGCAACGTAATACATGGGGTTTGAACCCAACCCTTTTCCAACCACCACCACGCATTAACGGCCGAAGTATCTACATGTTCCTCACACAGAGATCCGGCCGGTGGGGTTTTCAAACGATCCAACCCGACACACATACGGAACATGACACATAGGATTTCAACCCTAACCCTTTTCAGACACAACGTAGTGATGGGTCTCTAATCAGATAAGTTTCTCAACTTATTTTTACAATTAAATCAACATAGCTAAACCTGAAAAGAGAAATTTCCCCTATGAGTAATGGGTTATTGAATTTTGCATAAGAAAAAATGCAATCAAATGTGAGTACTGATATGTGTAACGTTTGTACTGGGACTTTCCAAAGGCCATCAATAAGCAGCATCAAAAAACACAAGGTGATCAACATCTGTATATCTGACCTCCATGAGGCCAGCGGCAACACCACCATGGCAGCATTCTGTATCGCTCCGGCAGCTCCAGCTCTAGCTCGACCACTTTGGATGGAAGAAAATTAGCCTTGCATATGGGAAGTAACTCATCGTATATAAACTGTTATGTATAATCTAATCATGTCATTATTATTACAAGTTGAGAGATAAATGGCAACATGTGTACAGTTAATCCACTAGTTCAACCTCTTGCATACAACCCGATCCCATACTGTGTACACGGTTATCCATGTTCTAAACACCATTACAAAATCTTCTTGTCTTGAATCTGAAAAACTGCCAAAATCTTCGCAAGCTTACGCTGCCGACCCAACCTATGATACCCCTCGGATCCGAGACACGGGTTGATCAGGCCTACGCCCAAACCCGAGGGAAATATCAAACAATTAAAGTATTTTAAAGCGAGCATAGAATAGAAGTTTAAGAATTTAAATAAAGAAACCAAAAGAATTATAAAATCCTCCAAACTGAAAATATTAATAATCCAATCCTTTTAAAACCTCTAAGGTTACAACTTGGGAATCCAACTAGTGGACCCCTAAATAAAATCCCAACTGAACTAAAAACTGGAAATAAAATAAGCTAGAATCATCGAGAGAAATCCTACGTAAACAGATGAATGTGAGACTGTCCTCGACAAGCACGATCAAGCTCCAAGGCTGGAACCGTCCTGCACCTGAAAAGAATAATAGAAGAGTGGGTCAGGCCTACGAGCAAGTTCTAATCTAACTGCAATCCATACAGTGACTCGATACGCAGATACACCGTAGATACCTCATAATATCTATCTAGTCCATATATATATATATATATATATATATATATATATATATATATATATCCACACTAAGGACATTCACTGGACTACAGTAGGGGTCTCAACCTGAATAGAAGGCAACATGCGAATACGCACCTAAGGGTGGGCATGGGTACCTAGACCTAATAGGGTATACCTCAAACTACTATAGCCAGCTACACATCCACTGCATATACACACCCTAACCAACGGTCTGAGACTCAAGCTCATCTCGTGGTACCATAAACATATATATAAAGTCCGTCCTAAACCAGGGTATATCGTTCAAATATTTATTGAGCTGACATACAATATACAAACTAGTTAGTCACTCAACTTATTCAGTTGATATGACTGAACTACAATCCATTAATCCAGGAAGTCATCCAACTTAGTCGCAGTTGATCTGACTTAGTCACAATTAGGATTCAATAACTTTCAATCCATTCCATTAATCCATTAGGTTAGGTTTATGCGTTTTGAGCTAAACCGTCCCTAGTATGCCACCGTCCCATACCGGTGCACCACCGTCCCATACCGGTGCATACAATCCTCCGTATCCATGTAAATTACAACAGGTACATAACAATTTAGCAATTTACACTCCAAAACCAAAATCCAAATAATTACAGAAAAGTATTTAAAGTTTCAGCAATTTAAATCCAAGAGTTAAACTATGTATTTGCAGAAAACGGTTTAAAGGTTCAACAACTAGCATCCAAAGCATGCGTAGATCACATCTAATATATCAATGACTCTATCATGCATTAAAATAAGTTTTTCAATCATATTATAGTCCAATAAATTGCTAAATTAATTTAACCAATTTAATTCTCTCCATCCGGTAACAGCGTGCTAAGTTGTATACTGGTATTCTGTTTAATCTTTTAGCACAGAGCCACAATATTCTACAAGTCTAATTTGTTAATTAAAAGATTCCATCATACATCTAAACTTTAATTGAGAATCATATTATAGCCCCTTAAATTGTCAAATTAAAATTAGATAATAAATTTCCTTCCAGCCGTTAACCGTACGCAAAGTTGCTAAATAGTGCACAGTTAATTCTATTAATACAATGAGGGTATTTTATGCAATTCAAGACCTTGATTACATATTAAATTAATTATTGAAACACCCATTAAAGTCCTAGAATTATTCAAGAACCCCAAGTGCCCAAACAGTAGCAAGTAGTTCGTAAAAAACAATAACAGAATGTGTAAATTAAAGGGAGCCTGCTCTAATTCTTGAAGAGCAGGCTCTTGTGAGCCTAGAGCCACCTCTTTTAGAGGTAGATCCTGCTCTACTTCCTCTAGAGCAGGCTCTACTCATGGGGGAGCCGTCTCCTCCCTCCGTGGAGCCGTCTCTTTCCCCCTCTGCGAGCTTCAGTCCGTTCCTGCTTTGTTTCAGTCCATCCTCTTCACCTCTAGTCTATTCTTAACACTCTGTTGGTCTTTAAAATTGATCTTAGGAGTTTAATTAACACCCAGTAGCATCCCATTAGTTTGTTATAACAGTAGGAAATAAAACAACAACAAAAATAACAATCGTCTTAACACGCTTTTACGATCAAACACTGAATACAATCTTGCAACTACAGTTCCATTCCAACCCCTCTGCTCCTCTTCAAAACTGAACCTAAGGTCTTATAACATCTCATTAACATCCCCATGGTTCGTTTACAGTAGATAAAAGCGAGTATAGTAACTAAAATTACAATAGAACTTAACATGCTTAAAGAACAGAAAATTGAAACGACACATGCATGAACTGTAACAAATTGGATTTCAACACAAACAAATCATCCATATAGCATATAATAAACATGTAACTTCCAATTATTGATTAATTAAACCTTAAAGACTATCTAGGTGCATGAAACACAAGCTAGAGGGAAGGAGGAAGAAAAGAACTTGCCTGCAGTTTTGGACTCAAAACTTTGTCGTCATCTTCCTAACTTCCGGCAACCACTGACTACCTTCTAGCCTCCTCTGGTTCTGGTCTAATCCACCAAAATCCTCCCTTGGTCCTCTCTATTATTCTCCTTGACAAACCGTTACGATGCTCTGTTCTCTCAACTGCTCTCTTTACAGAACCAATACTTTGTTTTTCTCCCAACCCTAAACCAACGTAATCACTATATTTATAGACGTAAAACACTAAACCCTAATCCTTGTTTAATTAGAGTCAAAGCCCTAACATAAACCTTAGTCGGCCCATATACAAAACCTACGTTTAAAGTGTCGGCTATA